CGGGTGCCCTTATTAGGAAATGCCCTAGACGTTGCCTTGAAAGAAGGAAGACGAATAAGAACACGTGTTCTGTTCTAATTACGTCATATGGAACAGGATTCGGATTCGAAAGAACGTTCATTTAGGGCGCAAATTTGACCACTGTCGAAAGTAAGACTATGTAATCCAGAACCCCCAGCTTCTTATACAACCTAAGGATTTTCTTATTTAGGAAAAGGGATGAGATGTCTTAGACGTTGTGAGGAAAGCCAAGTTTCACTTCCTCCCGTCTTCTAGAGAGAGGATCAAGCAATTGAAGCATTGATGGAAAAGGCTTCTAGCGAGGATCATGATCTTCTATGTGGAAATGGAGAAGACTGTCTCGGAATACGTAATTGAGAGACGGTTATGTCAAGGTTGGAATAAGGTCAGAGTTTGACCAGATGCCAAACAGAAACTTGAAGAACAAATTACCTGGAAATAGCCTACAAAACATCACACAATCCACTTCACAGTTCCAATATACATTCACAAAAACACGTAACAACTTAATACTTTTCGAAATCTGATATGTCTGATTTCATGTTTGTTGCAGGTTAATTGCTCTAAGCATTTTTCATCTTCGTCCTTCTTTTAAAAAGCTCACACTGGGATTAACAGTAAATGTTAGGGAGAAACCTTTTAGAGTAATGCTAGATTCTCCTATTTAGTATATTACACTGGCCTAAAAGAGTTCCATGTACTCCATTTTAAATCGAGTTGTGGCAGTATTTCCTTTGAGATTCCAGCTCCCACTCTTTCAGAATCAGACAAACCACGATTGAAGCGAGATGTGAGGGAAAATGTTGACACAAAGTAGTGTCGGAGTCATGTATGTGGCATGTATTTCTCCTATTTAGTATTACACTGGCCTAAAAGAGTTCCATGTACTAGACTTGTGGCAGCATTTCCACTGAGATTTCAACCCACACTCTTTCAGAATCAGACAAACCACGATTGAAGCGAGATGTGAAGGAAATAGTTGACACAAAGTAGTGTCGGAGTCATGTATTTGGCATGTATTTCTCCTATTTAGTATTACACTGGCCTAAAAGACTTCTACGTCCTCGATTTTAAATGGATTTGTGGCAGCATTTCCTCTGAGATTCCAGCCCACACTCTCCCAGAATCAGACAAACCACGACTGAAACGAGATGTGAGGGAAACTGTTGACACAAAGTAGTGTCGGAGGCATGTATTTGGCATGTATTTCTCCTATTTAGTATTGCACCGGCCTAAAAGGGTTCCATGTACTAGATTTTAAAAGGAGTTGTGGCAGCATTTCCTTTGAGATTTTAGCTCCCACTCTTTCAAAATCAAACAACGATTGAAACGAGATGTGAGGGAAAATGTTGACACAAAGTAGTGTCGGAGGCATGTATTTGGAATGTATTTCTCCTATTTAGTATTACACTGGCCTAAAAGAGTTCCATGTACTAGATTTTAAATGGAGTTGTGGCAGCATTTCCACTGAGATTCACAGCTCGCACACTTTCAGAATCAGACAAACCACGACTGAAACGAGATGTGAGGGAAAATGTTGACACAAAGTAGTGTCGGAGTCATTTATTTGGCATGTATTTCTCCTATTTATTATTACACTGGCCTAAAAGGGTTTCATGTACTAGAGTTGTGGCAGCATTTCCTCTGAGATTTCAGTTCCCACACTTTCAGAATCAGACTAACCACGATTGAAACGAGATGTGAGGAAAACTGTTGACACAAAGTAGTGTCGGAGGCATGTATTTGGCATGTATTTGGCATGTTTTTCTCCTATTTAGTATTACACTGGCCTAAAAGGGTTCCATGTACTAGAGTTGTGGCAGCATTTCCTTTGAGATTCCAGCTCCCCCACACTCTTTCAGAATCAGGCAGCCCACGATTGAAACGAGATGTGAGGAAAATTTTGACACTCGGCACTCCGGATTGTCTGGAACAGAAGCGGTTGTCATTTGTTTCCAACTATCTTGGATTTTGATCTGACAAGAAGGTGGCGAAATTCCCTCGGTGTTAAAAGATAAGCTACAAGCAATCAGTAAAATGTCCGCTGGCGGCTTGTGATGTGTGGAAAACTACAAACAAGTAACAGACATGTGCCTTGAATCAACATACTTAGAAGTCGCAGGAAATTATTTGTCTACAGCTTGATTTCATTTATGAGGGGTTTGTGCGTAAAAGTGCATCTCTCAGTTAGGAATCTGCTCAGTGCTACTGCAATCTTAGAGAGAGGGGGAGACATTCATACAATAATAATAATAATTGGTTTTTATTGTCCAAACAGTACCCGTGCAGTCGTAGCCTTTATACGGCTGAATTGATGCAGGGTATCACATCATAATCAATACAAATCACAACTGCCATTCGGCGCCAAAAGGTGACCTTAATACGACTTTCCCCAACCGAAGTTAGGTACCCATTCACACCTGGGTGGAGTGAGGAAAGTCGTGTAAAGTGCCTTTCCCAAGGGCACAACGTCGGGGCGCATGTCCGGACATGCTGTAGTCACCAGTTCCCCAAATGACGTCCTATGTAAGACGTGATCGTTCCAGCTTGTTCACAGCCATTAGACGTCTGTGGCTTGAGACCACGTTTCCTGCTTCCCAGCTAACTCCAACTGACACTGGCCCTATATGGACGCTGTGAAATGGGTTCGCTGTACGTCTGAGTTTTAAAGTTATCTTGCGTAGACTTTCTAGTTGCAGTCTTTGGAGACTTGTACTGGCATCACATAATTATCAAGACAATACGTGACATTTTAGCCCAGTTTGTGGAGCAGTCTCTAGATACTATAGAGAGAAAGCTATTGGGTCGTTGCTGTAGAAGTTCTACTTGAAAGTAAGTATATGCGTGGTCCAGATTACCAAATACACCCAGGCAACTTGTACACTTACGATCTTGATTGCTTTCCATATATTCTAAAACCCTTCATTGCATAGAATATACACCTATCATCGGTACGATCACAGCAACAGGTAATTATTTTCTTCGCAGCAAATTGGAGATCAGACCTCATTTGACAGGTTGGCAAGATTCGAACCCCGGACCTCTGATCCAGAGGCCAGATTGCTCCTGAGCTGTAATCTCCAAGCAGATCCCTCTCGGTGGCAAAAAGACAGTATCAAATTGGCCAGGCAGTATCCATTAGCCAGAGAAGGTCGCCGGCCACCGACGGGTGGGGGTCAGAACAAAAAAAAACGGCCATATATAAAAATGTAACGATCATTCCCCCACAACCTCTGCTTGGAGAGTACCTGAGCTGGCCACACGCTATCGGCATATCTGTGATTAATGTGTTCCCTTGTACAGAACTGGGGTAAACTGTCAGGCTTATATTAGCACATTCGATCTGTAGAGAGAGTGGTGTACAGAATTAGAGGGATGGAAGTTAATTTCGAATTTCCGATAAGAGGTGACCAGGTCAAAATTCTGCATATCAGATCTGATAGCTTTGGTTATTTATCCCATTTATTTGCTACCAAAAAGAAATTGTCCTGGAAAATCGTGCTAACTGCATTGAAATGGACTAAAGGTTGCAAAATAGGTACTTTTTCCTAAAAAAAAACTAATGGTACAAAATAACGTTCAACACCATTTTTCGGCTTAACAGGTTTTTTTACGTATACCTCAAATAATTAAAAGTACTAAATAAATGTACTAATTAATCAAGTCTGATCTGATCCCTCCGCCCCCCTCTCCCTGTTTCTGTTTTCTCTCACTTTCGATACCAGTTGACCAGGTCAACAAATTCTGCATATCAACACTGGATAGAGTCCGCGTATCCAAGAACGTAGATCCATAGCCAATCCAGGCATGGAATAAGATACGCCCCCCCAAAAAAACAGTTACTCAAGCAACTTGATATGATTTTGGAAACGGTCTGACCTTTCAGGTAGTATCCATGGCCACTAACTTTCGTCGATGACACTAAGAGACTGCAGGACAATTGCAGGTTTATAAGAATAAGATAGTTGCGGTTCTGAGTACAACAGCAGTCAACTTTGCTGATCGCCTGCTAAAATGTAAGGTCTGTACCTCAGAGTGCATTTACTGCGCTTTCCTACATTACGACCGGCTTTTGGTGGTCAAGAGTGCACCATTACACCTGTACTGGAACTAATCTTTAGAGTGAGTCTGTCTGAACCCATTCTTTACATGGTTAAAGGCAACTACAGATTGCACTCACTATTTTATTAACGAATCTTCCCTTAATACATCGAGGAGCCATCACCCCTCCTAAACCATCTAACGCACCGTCCCCAGGTAGCAAATTTCCAGACCTAACACTCCTCTTTGGAAGATGTTTCCGGAAGCGAGTTTTGTATCTCTAACGTTACATGCGTGTCCCTTGTACGGTAGTTGTACCCATGCCATTTTTCATTAACGAATCTTCCCTTAATATACTATAGGGACATGATAGGACATTCTCCCTAAATCATCTAACGTACCATCCCCAGGTACCAAATTTCCAGACCTAATACTCCTCTAGGTAAGATTTTTCCGGAAGCGAGTTTTGTAATTCTAAAGTTTAAGAAGCATGTCCCGATGCCATTTTTCATTAACGAATCCTCCCTTAATATATTATAGGGACATGCATCCAAAGCATCTAACGTACCATCCCCAGGTAGCAAATTTCCAGACCTAATACTCCTCTCGGTAAGATGTTTCCGGAAGCGAGTTTTGTAATTCTGAAGTTTAACATGCATGTCCCTTGCACCAAAGCAATTTTTGATTAACGAATCCTCCCTTGATATATTATAGGGAAATCCCCCCTAAATCATCTAACGTACCGTCCCCTGGTACCAAATTTCCAGACCTAATACTCCTCTCGGTAAGATGTTTCCGGAAGCGAGTTTTCCGTGCAATCAGCTCAAATAAACGCCTAAAGGCGGCAACAGTGCGCGCGGTGCGGACATCCCCGAATAGCGGACGCTGAGGCGAAGGTACTAATATTAAACCCAAGAGAAGGCAGCCTGTAGAGCGGTATGGGCGGGCTGCAGAGCCGGGTAACGTCTGTGTTTGAGAAGAGAAGGAGTAGCGGGGAGACGGACGGGATGGGTTGTTTCGGCAGCCGGATGCAGACGTGTAAGACCCACCTCAGGAGGACCTACAACGGGAAAAGGCCGCTCAGAGAACAGTCCAAGAGGATGCTGACTCAGGTAAGATTGATACTCTTGATAGAGTAGTCTTCTCTAACATCATTTCAACAACTAAAAACGCTCAGAGAACGTAATGGTCGAAGAGAATGCTCACTCAGGTAAGATTAATATGGAAAAATTCTAAGATTTGTCTTTTACTTAATTTAGTATTTGACATAGAAGTCTTCTATACTGTCATGCCAACAACACAGTCCAAGAGAATGCTGACTTAGGTGAGACTTATAGGGAGAAACTCCAAGATCAAAGGTACAGCTCCGAATGTTCATACATCTACAACTGCCTTAAGAAGCGAGAAGAAGTTGAACTTTAAAATATAGATCGCATTAGCATGTACAGTTTTAGTAAGATATTGCTGTAACTTTTTGTTTATTTAGCTTAGCTTGTGTATTTAGCTTGCAAGAGCATAAATGTACAATTTCAGTCATTCTAATATCATGCGTCAACAAAAATCGCCCAGAAACATACACAGAGGAAGCTGACACGGCAATGGCGCGTAGGTCTTCGAACGTACGATTTTTTTGCCGTAGAATTTTCAGGCAATGACAGAAGCAACAGCTGACCAGCATTTAGTCAGAATTTTCCCTAAGAAGACAGCAAAATTTTGCAAGACACGTTGAACTATCTCAAGAATGCCCGCAGTTTACGATCGCGCGACGATCGCACACAAGGAATATGATCAAACGTTATGATAAAAAAAGAAAAGACAAGATTCTAGCATTTCGAGTCTCTGAGTACGTTAAAGCGCTGCCTTCTATATCTACGACTGAAAAATGCCATGTCAACTACAAAAGACAAGCCTCAAGCCTAGGTCCATACGCGCAATGTATTTGTTAAGATGAAGACTTTTTGCTAATTTTACTGTGTCCAAATGGATACTAACTGATGTAACTTAGTGTTGAAATTGCCTCATCATCCTTTTTACCCTGAATAAAGCCTTGTATCTTCTTATACGACGTACGAAAACTTGTTGCCAAACACCTTTGCAAATCGCACAAAGTTAAATTTAAAGATGTTTGCAAATTGTACGTTTTGTCGGGTATAAGACCACCTTTTATGCTTACTGTACATAGCTTCAGAATGCTGCATTTCCAAGTATAAAACGAGTAGATGTCACTTCCAGATCTTGGTTTTATCTTAATATTCATATGGCGAAGTCTTAGAACGTCAGGATTTACAGCGTACACCGTTAAGTACCAACCGCAGAATGTTTATTGCCTCTGGGAGTCGCACAGGATCAACACCGGAATAATAAAACACACACGTGCCTTTATATAAGATAAACTCGGATTAACGTTCAGGTTATCTACCTTGAAAAACGCCAAAAGGCAGTTACTCTAGCAACTGGATATAATTTTGGAAGCGGTCAGACGTTTCAGCTAGTATCCACTAGCTTTTGTCAGTGACTTGAGAGACCAGAGGAGAAATGCAGGTTTATAAGCACAACCTATTGACCTGCATTTCCCCTCTGGTCTCTCAGTCACTGACGAAAGGTAGTGGATACTACCTGAAACGTCTGACGTTTTCGAAATCATATCCAGTTGCTTGAGTAACTGTTTTTGGCGTATCGTATTACCTGGATGTCTAACCTTCATCCAAAACAACCTTGTTCTTTAGTCGTGCATGGTTGAAGACGATCGTTCGATTTTCTTGTGACTTTGAACCAACAGAGCTTATGCCTAGGTCACATTTACAGAAATAGTGCCCATGATTATTATCGAAAACTTTTCTGTGTTTTCTTGTCTTTTATATCGTACTTTTCGTTCCGTAAGACTGCTCAGCCGGGCCCCGGTTTGGGAATGTGATCCTCAGCATAACGGTCTGGGCGATGTTTCTAAGACGAACAAGCTATTTTCGTTCTGCCTACTGTTCCGTATCAGTACTGTTCAAAAACTGAGAGACACCTGTTACGAAGAGTGCTGATGTAATATAATGTCGGGACGTTTAAAGTAGTATCTAGACAAACAATTGTGACTGATTATGTGGGTTTTAAAAATCTTCGGTCAGTTCGACCAGGCTTTACGTTTCATCCGAGAAAACGTTCCTAAAGGCGCGGTCACATTTCCCAACCCGGGGCCCGACCGGGCAGTCGTTTGGAACGAAAATTATGATATAAGACAGCGAAACACAAAAAAATTTTTTAGAAAATTAACCATGAGCACTATTTTTGTGTACTCTTAATACAAATTGTCTATTTTTCGTTCACGCAAACAACCCGGTCGGGCCCCGGCTTGGAAATGTGACCATGCCCTAACCGAAGCCAGTTACTTATTTTCACATCAGTCGAGGGAGGACATAAATGTTAAATCGCTTGTCTAAACCACCAGATATCTGAACCTAGAGCCTTGGCTAGCAACACTAACCACAAGAACACCTCGCCACCCGTATACTAGAAACACTTCTATAATATAAACCAATGTCAGAAAACATACGGGAATCCATAACCTCTCATTACCAGATGCCATGTATGTTGCCATTTCCTCGATCTGCAGTTATAAGGTCGACTCGCTTCTACGACCGATTTTCTAGTCTCCACCAGACTCCTTTGCAGGCTGAATAAATAGTAGAAATCTGCTTAAAAAGGGGGTTTAATTTAGTTTCCACTAGACTCCTTTTGCCATTGCAAGCTGATAAATAGTAGAAATTGGCCTAAAAAGGGAATATGGCAAGCTGGAGATTCTATGGCGGCCATCTCCTCTGCCCATGATATTCCCTTTTTAGGCCAATTTCTACTATTTATCAGCCTACAAAAGGAGTCTGGTGGAGACTAGATTTAATTGGCCAGAGGAGTTGACCGGCAAGAAAGGGTCAATTTGCCTGCACGGATAATGGGCCCTCTATCGCCGGCCAACTCCTCTGGCCAATTAAGTCCCCTTTTAAGCCTGATTTCTACTATTAATTCAGCCTGCAAAGGAGTCTGGTGGAGACTACAGATTGCCATTGACGCACAAGATCGGGTGCACGCCAATCATCCGGTCGTTACCGGTTCCTATTTTCGTAACATCATGACCTGAACGTCTGATCATAACCTGACCTTTAAGTCCTGCTCTGTTGTTAGTAGCGTGTGTAACGATGTTCAGGGCAATGCTCTGCGTAGGCCTGAATTTTCCGAATATACGTGGGCTATCAGGAACCGAGCTTGGTCCATGAGCATGGTTCTGGATAAATTACGGTTCTAGGAACAAGAAGAAACATCTATAATGATTTTATCCCAGGAAACTTTCATCAAAACAAATAATAATTTCATTTCAAGAAACTTTTGCCAAAACCCAGAGAATGCAAGTTACGGCACTGTTAACTTAGAGTAACTACCTTTCCCTGCAAATTGCGCAAAGGCACAGAAACTGAGCGCCTTTAGGTCAACTTTATGACTCTAGTGAATGACACAGCACTTAAGGTCTATGGAAAAAAAGTATCCAAAACATAGATTTTACCCCAGGCACAGTTCTGGCTATCAGGAACCGAACCTGAGCATGGTTCTGGATAAAGCACGGTTCAAGAAACAACAACAAACCATCTATATTCTATAGTTATTTTACCTCAAGAAACTTTCACCAAAACAATAATTCTAGCCGAAGTAACTTTCGCCAAAACACAGAGAAGGCATTGCCAAGTTTACGGCGCTGTTAGATATAGAGTAACTACCTTTCCCTGCAAATTGCGCAAAGGCACGGAAACTGAGACATTCCTCAAGTAACTTTATTGAGCGCCTTGAGGTCAACTTTACGACTCTAGCGAATGACACAGCACTTAAGGTCTAGGAGAAAGCGGGAAACTCCCCCCGGTGAGCGCAGCAGCCCGGTTATCGGACTCCTGCAGGCGCGCGGTAACATTCTTAACCAGCCGGGCTGACAGAAAGGTTTACTGCCGCACACGTGAACTATATAACCCCTATAAAGCATCGCGCGGTGTTTGAAACAGCTTCAGAATGCGGGGAAAGTATTCCAGACATGCACGCTCCCCGTGGATGACGTGTGATAGACATATCTGAACGGAAAACGCCAGAAACCTGGTTATAAATATCCCGACAGTAACAGTCGGAGGCAGCGGATGTGAGTTGAGGTTTACTGCTTGTGATGGCTCTGCCGGTCATTTGACAACCGTAAATATCATTCCTCGTGCCGTAAAAGCGACGGAAGACAACCGGGAGTGACCATGGCATTTACACTAACGCGACGTGAGACCGACTCTAAATCAAAACTAGACAAGTTCCCGAGTACATTTTCCTTATCCACTCTCTCCCTATTACACTGCACTACATAGATGTAAAATTATGCTATTAAGTCACATTTCCAAACTGGAGCCCGGCCGGGCATGGCATTTACACTAACGCGACGTGAGACCGTCGCAAAATCAAAACTAGACAAGTTCCCGACTACATTTTCCTTATCCACTCTCTCCCTATTACACTGCACTATATAGATGTAAAATTATGCTATTAAGTCACATTTCCAAACGGGGGCCCGGCCGGGCATGGCATTTATACTAAGGCGACGTGAGACCGATGCTAAATCACAACTAGACAAGTTCCCGAATATATTATCCTTTATCCATTGCCCGCCACATAGGCATGTACGTGTACTTAATGTGCTATTAGGTCCCATTTCCAAACCGCAGCCCGGCCAGGCTGTTCAAATCAGCAATATACACAAATGATTTATTTTCTGTGATGTACGTGATATGGCAAGTCAAGATTTATGAAAGAAGAAGAAAGCGAGGGAAGACGGCCAGGAGTGACCATGGCATTTATACTAACGCAACGTGAGACCGGTGCTAAATAAAAACTAGGCAAGTTCCCGAATATATTTTGAGCCACTCCTGCCTAATACATAGATATGTAGTTATCCTATTTGCAAACCAGGACCCGGCCGGACGAAAAATAAATTCATATCAAGAATATACGCAAACATGATTAGTTTTTAAAAATTTTTTTGTGTTTTCCTGTCTTTTATAAGTAATGTTTTTCGTCAAGTACCTGAGTATATTCTCCTTATTCACTCCCTGCCTATTACACTGAACTACCACATAGATGTAAAATTATGCTATTAAGTCACATTTCCAAACGGCCCGGTCGGCCTGTTAAGTTTGCACGAACGAAGATTAAACAATTCACATCAAAAATATACACAAATTCTTTTTTTCTTAAGCGATGCACGTGATCTGGCAAATAAAGATTTATGAAAGAAGGTGACAAGATATGGAAGAAATCCTGCATGTTAAAAATTTGAATATCAACTGTGCATCCAGAAACAAGTCAGGGGATGGCCATTCAGAAAAATGACTCTCTTGATCTAAAGAGACCAATAATGCAAAAATTGGGGCGTTCTAGTTTGTTCATGTTTACTTCCTGTGACCATTTTGCAACCCTAAATCAGAACATTGATTCCCGTGGAAGCGCTCCAAGCTTGTTTACGATCGATGTCCACAAGGCGACCACAGTGCTAACGGGATTTACTTCAATTAGACCTGAGGGACTTCAAAGTAGCTCTAGATGTGTCCGGTTCGACACTTAACAAACATGACATGCCGAAGCCAATTTCCTATCTGTTCCATTAGATCCTCTGAAGTGACGAAGGCCATAGAAAGAGGTTGTTGGAACGAATTGTAACAAGCGTGATATCTGATCAATATCTATAGCGTTACAAATCTCATTATTCTGTAGGAGAATGAGAGACGGAAATCGAGAATTAAATGCGGGAACAGAACATGAAAACACGTGTAAAAATAAAGAATAGAAAATCCAGACGTCAGTCACCATGGTAACTGGTGCTGTAGGAGACACCCTGTGGTGTTAGGTTACATGATGTAGCAAGTTGCAGGGCAGAGTTGTAGGGGCTGGGCACCATATTATAAACAGATTAACATTATGCATCTGCACGCAAATGTTACCTCACTAGTTCTCTGTTCATCTCTCTGTTTCCTTGTCTTGTTGGCGAGGTACTAGTTTTTCTTCATCTCTATATTTTGATTGTCTTCCCTTCTCTATGTCTCTACTACTGGATAAATTACGAATATTAATTTCGGACGTTTCGAGTAACTAACCATCCTCAATGTATGTTTTATTCTTCAGTTAGCGAGGGTGACACACTTCACAGTGGCGGAGGTGAAGCAGTGGTACCGGATGTTCCTGCTCTCTCTCCCTCTCTCTCTCTCTCTCTCTCTCTGAATCCCTCCTCTTTCTCTCACTCACTCACTCACCCACTCTCTCTCTCACTCACTCTCCCTCTCTCTCCCCTCCAGTTGGCGAGGGTGACGCACTTCACAGTGGCTGAAGTAAAGCAGTGGTACCGGCTGTTCCTGACGGACTGTCCGGACGGTCAGCTGTCCGAGCGCCAGTTCGTCGGCTTCTACTGCAACCACTTCGAGCACGGCAACGCCGAGATTAAAGCGGTGAGTACTGCCGTTTCCAGAACTGTGCCTATCTACTTTTGTGTTTGAATTGGTTAGGGTTAGGATCAGGTACGGTGCAGGATTGATAGTCTCTATCATATCCAGACTCGTGCCTATCTAGTTCTGTGTCTGAATGGTTTAAGGTTCTTGATAGTCTCCGCCACGTATTCCTTAATGTGAATTGCCACAGAAACGTTTCTAGAAACGTACGGACTATCCAGAACTGCGTCTGGGGTTAGGATCAGGCACGGATCTGGATAGTCTCTATCGTATCGAACAAACGTAGGTTTGCCCCAGGCACTGTTCTAGATATGGACTATCCATATTCGTGCCTGATCTTGTTTCTGGATAACAACATGGTTCTGGATATAAATTAAAGGAATTAAAGGAAACAGCCTTGTTAAAGTTATTGTGATATCGTTAGGTCAATAATCGGAAACAAACCATAGGGAAATAGACCTTTTTCTTATACTAAATTTTTCCTAAATTATCCTTAGAAAAAAGTCCCCTGGTAAGTTTGTCGAGATGAGAACCGACTGTTGCAGGCAACGTTCTTGTGGGCTGCTGCGGTTAGGGACTAAAGGCTCTCCATGTGGTATCCATCATCAGACTATTGCAGGCAACTTGAGAATTAGAATTTCAATTAACCAACCACAATAAACACAATTAATTTAAAAAAAAATCTAATTGCACAACGAGCATTTCGAGCAGACCGTTCTTGACGGACCTTATTTTAACTACGTGGATTGCAAAAGAAGTGGTAGATCATTCCATGATTAACGTTTCACAGCTCTATACGTGAAACACTTCGATCTTCAAAGAGTTGGTTCCGGATCCGTCTAACATTCTCGTAGGCTGCTGCGGTTAGGGACTGAAAGCTCTCCATGTGGCATCCATCATCACTGTTTAATAAAGCAGAACGGTCCAGAGATTTAACTCCCTGGGAATATGGCGGCCTTCCAGTGCCGCTTTCATGGAGGTAATAGCTCACGGAGATCGTTCGTCACCGCCAGAACGTTTTACAGCACCCCGCTCCCACTAGACAGCGGAATGGTCGTGATTTCTCCATCGTTAGAAACCTTAGCATTCATAACGACTGTGCATATTTCTGAGGAACAGAAATACTCAACATAAACTTCCACTCAGTAGGTCTGACCGGCATAAAAAAACTTTCATTGTGACAACCACGCAAGCATTGTGCACGTGCAATTGTATTGCAAACCCATGCGTTTTGTGTTGTAATTTCTAATTATGCAAATCTTTTTATCTATCTGTAACATTTCAACGCTTTCATTTCACGAGCTAACCACTCGTGGAGATCATTCGTCACCGACAGAACGTTTTACAGTAGCGCGTTCCCGCTAGACAGCGGAATGGTCGTAATTTCTCCAATGCAGACGTTAGAGAACTTAGCGTTCATGACAAATGTTTATCACTAACGGAACAGTCTAATATAACATACACTTCGGATAGTCTGGTATCATTGCCGTTAAAAGGATGATGTCTCACATAGCTTTCAGCGTTCTACAAAGTTTTAGTGAACTTGACATTGGAATGGCCATTATTTGTCCATTGCAGCCGTTAGAGAACTTAGCGTTCATCGCATGACGAATGTTTATTACTAACAGAACTTTGTAATGTAACGTTAACCCAGAACACAGCGGGTAGTCTAAAATCATTGCCGTCTCCCTGACATAGCTTTGAGCGTTCGGTAAATTTTGAGTAGAAATTTACATATATCAAGCGATATCTGTACTGTAAGGAGGGCAAGTAGTATACATTGCATAAAGAAGAGTTTATCTGGTAAAGGCAAATGCACACTAGAAATGTAACACACACGCATATATATATATATATATATATATATATATATATATATATATATATATATATATATATATATATGTAGTGTGTGTGTGTGTGTGTGTAGTGTGTGTAGTTGTGTGTGTGTGTGTGTGTGTGTGTGTGTGTGTTTGTGTGTGTGTGTGTGTGTGTGTGTGTGTGTACAATGTATATATCCGCCTGGTTCTGTTCATTGACATGACTTGTCTGAGGAATAGAAGAAGATGATACAGAGCGAAAGCAATATGTCTACCTTCCGTAAAGGTAAACATAAAAAGCCAATATCCAAAGTCTGTAGAATCTACGACCGGCTTCCTCTATGCCCCTCCGGACTTTTCGTCTCGGTTCTTGGTAAAAAATATAAACCAAACTTGTGATCATGGATTCTCTCGAGGCCTGAACAGCGCGCAGTTCGGAGATTTAAGACCCTCTCCTGTTCACCTGTTGCACGCCGAGGGAGTCAGTAATGGACATGTATGAGTGATGGGCCTAAAACGTACCCCTGGGGTACCCACATTTGTCCTCCCATAAATCATTGAGTATCAAAGTTCGTTGTTCACCACGACTTTTACGGGCCCCAAACATCAGGTCCATGCCACTTTGAGTCTGTGATGTACTGTGAACATCAATGGTCAAGGCTAAGCTATTTCTCCCATTGAATAATTTTGCTGGTGCTGTATCTGTATCAGTATAGGCGGTTTAACTGCCCTTCGGTAGCACACCAGCTTCTGTATCTGTATAGCCGGTATAATTGCCCTTCGGCGTAACACACCAGCTTCTGTATCTGTATAGCCGGTATAATTGCCCTTCGGTGTAACACACCAGCTTCGCAGGCACGCGGCGTGGCGGCAGCTAGCTATATCACACTAAACGACTTCTGACACTCAGTTTTTGTACATGTAATTGAAAGAGTTGTTTCAAGCTTTCTAGTGATGATGCCCCAACTGACTGTGCTGGTGGCAACGAGTTCCAGTCTACGATAGTTCTGGGGAGTTTTTGAGCACCTCAATTCTTGGTTGATAACTCTAATATTTGAAGGCATGACTGTTTCTTGTTCTGTTACAATAATACTAGAAGACAAAAGACGTACAGTATTCCATACCACACCAAGTCTAACTAAGTACCATTACGAAACCGATGTCACATCAATCAATAGTTCGTGCTTATAGGCCTGCTTTTCTGACAACTCTCCAGTGTCACTGACAAAATGTAGTGGATGCTACCTGAAACGTCTGACCGTTTCCAAAATCATATCCAGTTGCTTGAGTAACTGCTTTTTATAGCTTAGTGCTGATTTTCTGTTTCTATTAAAGTTAACCAATTAACTGTATAGGACGATTTACAACTAAGGCCTTTCCATGCTTATCAGTATATCCGATCGTGCCTTTTCTTCCAGCGACCTGAAATAACCCTTAACTATCAATCTCATATAAGATGGATTATAGTTACAATTGTCTATATCTGCCGCCGACATAATGCCACAGGATTAGGCCAGTAATTTTACGTCCGCGCGCGCATTGATTTTGGCCTGTTTCCAGAAAAAAAGACTCTTCCGCTTCCTATCTATGACCAAAGAGTCACGACAGTGGGATAAGGGAAGATAAAAGGAAAGATACAGGGCAGGACGACAACTGCTGTTCCACTGATTTATTGCTGTTTTCATTACGAATAAAAGACTTGTTGGATGTTTGATTTGATTTATTAGACTGTATAAACAGATATATATATACAGCCAGGACTGCCCAACTAGCCGGAGGCTATTATAGGTTCGTTGGTTGTTACACTGTGTTCCCTCATTCAATTTGTGTCCTAACATTTGTCGTCCCTTAGTATATTTCAAATCTAGGCATCTTGCTTCTTTCGACCCTTCATGTTTTTATTTCGCGCTCTCGCATTAGAATTAGGGTCTCCAGAGAACGTCATCCATACAAATTACTTGGTGTGGCCTTACAGTTATGTAAGAATGTTGATAATCCCTCAGCTGAGATCAGCCACTGATGAAAACCTCAGGCGATTACCACAGTAATCCTTAAGGTATTAGGACTGGTGGATATATATTGCTGCTTCATATTTCATATCTTATATCTAGACGATATAGACAGCTATGATGTCTACCAGGGTGTCTTTACGGAATATAAGGCCGAGGGATTTTGACTGCAAAGTGGTCTTATCTTGCATAGCAGCCAAACTATATTAAAAGCGAGCTAATTAAGATAGTTATCAGTTTTAGTTTAGATTATCTATTATGAAGAAGTACTGAGAATGCTTGTGTATGTATGTAATTGAGCATGTGATATGGGCTTTATCTACGTTGTGTAACAGGGGATATATTGTAATATATTGCTGTATATCTCATCTAGACGATTCTACCAGGGTGCCATAACGGAATATCATGGTGTCTACCAGGGTGCCTTAACGGAATATCAGGCCGAGGGATTTTGACTGCAACGTGGTCTTATCTTGCATAGCAGCCAAACTATATTAAAAATGAACTGATCATGATAGATTATCAGTTTTAGTGAAGATTATTAATTATGAAGAAGTACTGAGAATGCTTGTGTATGTATGTAATTGAGCATGTGATATGGGCTTTCTCTACGTTGTTGTGTAACTGGGGATATATATTGCTTTATATCTGATCTAGACGACATGGACAGTTACGATGTTTGCCAGGGTGACTGTCTTGTACAGCAGTCAGACTGTATTAAAAGCAAGATGATTATGGTAGATTATCAGCTTTAGTTCTAAATTATTTTTAGCAGACTATGCTTGGGTATGTGGGGATCTGACATGGGTTGTCAGTACGTTGTGTAGATACGTTATTACGTGCAGAGACACTGTGCTGGAAGCAATTATTTTTAAGAGCTACAGTGTTGCATAATTTGTATGAAAATCGTACAAAGTAATACCACTTAATACTTCACCTACGTGTATATAAAACGTATTCATGAATTTTCCTAATCTTAGGGCTTGGTTGCAAAGCCAGAGTTCCGCAGAAGTATTATCTTCTTTCGTGGGATTTAAGGGTTTGACATTTTTATCGATCCATAAAACAGGCACGAAGCGCCATTAGGAGAACAAGAAAAGATTGGATGGAGTTTTTCGTTTTTCCGTCTCAAAGTTTAACATAACATAAATTACTATGAAACCCTGGTGTTTTAGGTAAGAAGAAACGCTTATCTACAGTTGTATAAATTGAAAAGACTTTGAATTATGTCTTTCACTAGAATATGCCAATTGATACGACAGTTCTGTCTACTGATGTCTTTCTTTCTCTCTGTCAAAACCTTGTACACATTCCCTTCTGAATTTGTGCACGTAGACTAGAATGCTCTCCCCAGAATGTGCAGACATGTACATAAGCATAGAACCTTGGAATGAAAGATGCTTCAACAAAGGCTAACGAAGCAGCACACACAAGGTCAGTTGGTGGTTGTGAAAACAGACGTTGAGTGATTTTCAGCTAACAACAGTAAAAAAAACAACTAATTTTGACCTAATTGTCTCATGTATCCAACCGCCCTGGGCAGGCCGGCAAGACCTCATCACTCAGGTCTCTCATTATGCCCACTAAACTGGTGGAATGAACACCAAAGTATTTGACCATTTGGCCAAAGTAGGAACGTTTAGACCCTACCTGTTCATTCTAGCACTAAAGTCTCCAAACTGGACTAAACTTTTCATGGGAAAAAGGATTTTCAAAGATATTAATTTTTAAAGGCATTCTCCGTCAGAATTTTTGCTTTATGACGGTCAATATACATTGGGATAGTGAGGTTTCATCTCAGCATGTAGATAAATGACTACAATATTGACTTAGAAAAATCAGGTTTCCAAGCCCTAAAAAGTGCATTGGATGCCTTTAACTAGGGACTACAATCGCAACGTTTTCCCTTCATGCGTGGTTAGTCCGGGCACGGATTGTTGATGGATGTGTGCGCTGCCGTCCAGGCTTGGGGATTACAACCTCACTGATGAAAGACGTCCCATAGCGGAGCGCCTGCCAAACGCAATACTTTATGAGCAAACTGCTTCCTCTTGGCGTTTGGCAGCATTCGACTTTAATTCCAAGAAAACCCGATAGTATGCAAATAGTGAGCGAGTGAGCGAAGTTATAATTTATACATTCTGTTCCCCAGATCCTGGCCAGACGTATTTTCCACACGTTTGACCGTGACGCCAGCGGGTGCGTGGACTTCCGGGAGTTCCTGTGCGGGATGTCCGCCATGCTGAGGGGAACCCCCATGGAGAGACTGAAGTGGGCCTTCTGTATCTTCGACCTGAACAGCGACGGGACTGTCAGCAAGAAGGAACTCATCAACGTGCTCACGGTGGGGTATATTTGTTGTCCCTTTGTAACAGTGTTACAGTTGTAAAGCCTGGTTGTATATACCAGGGTTTTTTTTTTTCTAGAAAAAAATTCAGAAAGACTTAATGCTGTGTATGTAGCCACGTAGGGTTTAATCTGAAAATTGACATGAAGGTGCTGGCTGGTTACATGAGGGAGCAGCGCCCTTATTCCCTGGTTTAGAATAACTCCTGTATATACAATATCGGTCACATGGACACAAGTGATTTGTTTCTTTGTTCACTTCGCTCACTCGGTAGTTTATTCAGTTGTCAGCAAGAAGGAACTCATCAACGTGCTCACGGTGGGGAAATTTATTGTGCCTTTCACTGCACGACAAATTGGGTTTACTAGTTGTAGTAAACAGTTACTTTTGTAAACAGTACCGTGCTTTAGAATTGTAGTAAATAAACTGGTAACGAGGTCCACAAGTAGAAAGTTTACTAAGGTCTTGTCCGTAGGCTAATTGCAAGTACATGTAACATAACAATAAAGGATGGACAATGGATGTAACTTCATGTAACTTCTTCTTCTACTTCTTCTTCTCGGAACTAAATACTAACTTATTGGGTTCTACTTCTTTTTCCGAGACAGTAGAAGACGAATGATCCCACTTTTTCTACAATGTGCGGGTTTTGTGATATTGGACAGCAATATCCTTTATGATATATAATGCATGTTGCATTCCTAGCTTACAGTCATAAGTTAGGACATGTATTCTATTACCATGTGTATGCTTGTGAGTCCTTATTTAGTTTGTGTGTGCGATGGATGGTGTATATTTGATTTTTGAACAGAAGCGAAGGACGGTAAATAGACTTTTTAAAACTCTTCTTATTGTGTTATATCCATTTACAAATCGCTACCGTATATTTTCCTGTCAAAATGGGATGACAAAAACCATTAACAGGTTTACTAAGAATACTCAAATAAAATAGTTTGCCAACGACAAGATTCCTCAACAAGTTCCCAGCAAGCGGTAGATTCCACGTCTTTTCTTCTGAAAATACTCCTATAAAATAGTTTGCAAAGACCAGCTTTCTACACAATAACGCAGTAAGGGGTAGATTTTACTTCTTTTCTTTGCAACTCAAAACCAGCCGCATGTGGTAAATGGTCCGCATTTTCTCGTAAAAGCCAACCAACACTTCATAGGAACATGACACATGCACCAGTACGATACGCACACATCTAAACCGCCTCGGCTTACTTAGATGCGTAGTCTCAAATCCCCTTCTGCTATTACATTAGAATAAGTGATATTATACGCTGCGTTCTTCCTACGCTCTCGACAATGTTTGGTAAGCCGAAGACGTAATGATAGGGGTTAGACACACAAAAATCGGCCATCAAAGGATTATCCTACCCATAAGAAGGATTGGACAGGCAGTAATGTTGATGGTCTGACCGATGTTTAAATCTAGATAAATGCGTAAGCACGAAGGCCGTATAAAACATTCGAGACCTCACCAAAAACTAGGAAAATAAATCACATTTTGGAGGTAAACTATAAACTAGAAAGCATTTTATAAATGCCCACCAAGTCTCACTGTGACCCGTTTCTTTGCAATCAAAGCTTTGTTTCAATCAGCACTGAGGAAAAAGCCGAGAAAACTAGAAAGGTAACATTTGCAAAGCAAATTCATAATGTAACCCAACACCACAGGGAGTCTGCTACAGCACCAGTTACCAAGGTTATTGACCTTATGTGTTCGAAGAAGAAGAGGAAGAAACAGAACAAAAATTATGTTTTCCTTCCGCGAAGGAAGGGGCTAGAACTATGCTTGTCGTTACAGGACCTCCCCATGACATCTTCGTTATATAGTCAAATCTTTGTTGCTAATTCGCCTGCATTTCGACCATTAAGAAGTGGGTCGCTGACTTTAAGCACACCAGGGAGGGCCCTAAAAGTTTACCTGGACACCTGAGGCCGCAGCTCCCTAAGACTTGCTGATCTCATCATTGTATAATGATATCAACCAGGCTAGAGAGACATTCACGTCTTTGTATTTCGGTTAGGCTGAGGTCTCATTTCCAAGCCCAATCCTGACCGGGTTGTTTACGTAAACGAAAAATAAAACAATTGATATCAAGAATATCTACAGGTAGTGCTCATAATTAATTGTTGCCTATCTTTAGTGTTTGGGACTGGATATCATACTTCTCGTTTCATAAGACTGCCCGGCCGGGCCCCGGTTTGGAAATGTGACCTCAGCATTAAGGATTGAAACATTTCTCTCCATTAACGTGACTTTGTCTGAACCCACAAAAGCATGAACGTGTCAGGATCTGAGATTACCAGGTGGTTTACACCGAGGGGGTGCTGTCAGGATGAGGAATGTTGTTATTTTGATGTACTGGTAACGAGATCCCCCAGGCACCCTGGTAACGAGAGGGCATGGCTGACTCAGCAAACCTCGAGTGTCTACAAAATTCCCTTTAGACTATTCGCGCCGAGTGCCTCCAGCGAGCCAATATAGCGAGAAATCAAAGATCTCCTATCTCTTTGTGAAGTATAAAGAGTTTTATAATGAGAATTAAACTGTTCTCCAACTCAATAAAATTGACTCAACGGAATTTTAGACCGACTCACTCGGTCTTCATCAGCTTTCTGATCCCTTTCTTTTCTCAAGTTTCTTGAGTTGGAGAACAGTTTAATTCCCATTATGGTTTTTACTAACTCAGATTTCATGCTAGTATTAAGAGTTTTTGTTTCTTTATTTCTTTCTTTCTAAAACGAAACCTCTATACACTGAGGTAATAACCCTAAGGAAACCCATACAACCCAATCGAACACCAAATCGAACACACTATTCGAAATAGAACAGGGGGTTCGACGTGTTCGACTCTCAATGGTCTATTCTATGCAGCACAAGTGTGAAACTTTCAAGTACTTGTGATCAAGATTGCCATGCTGCTTAACATTCATTTTAAAAACTCGTTACATGCAATATAAGTAAACAAGAGACGGTGCAAGGGGATCATTTACTGTCTATTTTGATGATTATGATCAGATGAGCTTGACATGTTTGTAATTATAGATTCATTAGTTGATGACATATTTGATAATGATCGGTGATCTTAATTGTGATAAATGAGCTTTACGATGATATATAAATGTATACAGTCTATAACGAAGATATGATCCTTCAAGTTTAATCAACTTTACATGTCAAGTGTATTTCGTACTTTAATCTGTTGGATGGAAAGACGGATGGAAACGTTACCTGGTTGGTCTAATTTTTCCTATGATCTCAAACTTCATCTAAACTTGTGAATAGCAAAGTTCTTTGATCACAACCATTTATTTTTTTACGAGCCGACGTTTCGATGACTGTCTGTAATCTTCATCAGGGCAATTCTGACTGGTTTGCTGTGCACTGACGCTAGATGTTACATAGTTCACAGCGCACAGTTACTTCATCTAAACTTGTCTGTGTCTGCTTAGTCTTGTTACACTCCTACGCTACTGTTTTGGAAAGAATTTACGAACCAAGTTTTTACCATTCCCCAGAGACAGTATTTTGTACAGCTGCACAAAATCTGACTGAAATGCCAGATGTCCTTGAAGCGACCTTGCTGAGTTTATGAAAGCACAAGATGTCGTCCCTGCTGAGTTGAGATGTATCGGAGGTTGCAAACAGGGTCCTTCCCAGAAGGACTACATATTGATTTGTGAAGTTTCTTTTCTTCTTGTTCTTCACCAAGCAAAGTCGATGACCTAGAACAGGCGTCTGTCACCATGATAAATAGTGCTGTAGCAGACACCCTGTGGCGTTGGGTTACATTTTCTAGCAAGGCAGAGTTGGGGGGGGGGGTCACCATATATCATATATTAATATGTTTGAGGAACAATAATGTGAACAATCATGTGAAGGTAAACATTACGCATTTGCTTTCAAAATGTTGCCTTTCTAGTTTTAATTTCTACATGTGTCTTTGAGTTTTTTCACGACTTTGCTTAGTGCAAGGCGAGAGATTGATTGGCAATTGCACTGAAATTGGGTTGCTGAAACAGCACCTCTTTTCCCTGAGTCAGAAACATTTCACAAAAGCCCTGACGGGTACATAAAGTAGAGTAATAGGTCCCCCTGGTATCAGTTGATTGCACAAGTGTGCGGTTTGACACTTCGAGACGTTTTCCTTAATGAGTAAAGCTGTCGGAGTTCTTCTAACGTCGTTGTTAGATGAATTAGCTTGTTACGCAAGCGGTTATGCTTCATTGCAACTCTCAATGGTATAAACTTAACCAACAGTCATTTATCTTTGCGACATATATTGAACGTCATTAACAGAGCACTGCGTTAGAGACATTTAAGACAACCGAAGTTAAACTTACTCTCCAAGCAGATGTTTGGGGTTTGGGGTTATTTTTGGCGTGTTTTAGGCTTTTGTTTATCGGGGTTTCTCTTTTGGACTGGAATTTGGTGAGAAAAAAAATTCAGTGCAAAAGAGAAACCCCGATAGAAAAGCCTAAAAACACGCCAAAAATAACCCCAAATCCAAACCTCTGCTTGGAGAGTAGTTAAACTATGAGCCCGATTCAAATCCTGCGATGCGCCTCAATTCAGTAGGGACGACACGTTTTCGATTCCATAATTTTATCAAGGTCAATGTATGAACCTCCGGCTTACTCCTCAGGTTTTATGTAGCCCTGTCTTGCCTTGGGCATGGTAAAAAAAGGTACTTGGTGTATACTCGAAATCACATTTCAGAACTTATTTTGTTGTTAAGTGCACTTCACAGCGTAGCCTGGCTATCTACGGGCTCTAAAGGCTCACGTTTGAAGTTAGCTCTAAAGGCTCACGTTTGAAGTTAGCTCTAAAGGCTCACGTTTGAAGTTAGCTCTAAAGGCTCACGTTTGAAGTTAGCGTGAAAGTGTATCTCCATTTGTTGACACATACCAAACACCCACTCGGGTCAAAAGATGTTAAACTGTATTCTATGAGAGATAAAACGACTGAAGCTCAAAATGACAAATTGTGAGTGTTAGCGAGCCTAACAGAATTTACGCAAGCACTTAACGTGATCCATGTTTGTATTACATCATAGTTGATCATGGGCAGGATTGCAGACCAAATACTTAAAACTTAGGTTCATTGATGGATGACATAACACAAAGATAACATCCGGACAGATGACTACACATGCACAGAGCAATCCCTGTGTGTGTTGTTGTGGAAGGCTTCATCACTCACTGTCAGATAAAGTGAGAACTGAAGATTGGAAGGATGTTTTTGCTGTCGGTTACACTTTGTAAGCAGCAGTTATGTAGAAACGCTGTTAGTCAGAAATGGCGGCTCACTAGGAAGTGCTGAGTACAAATATAATCAGCATCTCGTGCTTAGGCTTTTTAAGCCACTCTTTTTGATTTTATGGATGACATACACGAACACATCAATTTTCGCCCCCTCACATGCACACTAAAAGCAACCAGGCGTTTTTTTAGGTACTTCAAGTATGCCAGGAGTAGAAAAGAAAACACGAAAATACCAGTGGAAGGGAGGCAGGGTTTGAATTAACGTACACTTGCTTTCACCATTAAGTCTTCCAAAGTCAAAGAAGGTACGCAAAATAATTTATTGTTTGGTACACCATGCTAAGTGTTTTCAGCCATTTTGTGAACCCTTCCAAATACTTTTCGCACGCAACCATGTATGATCCGCAGTGCCAAGGGGATGCCATACACTTTCCCATAACTGCTGAGTGCTAGGCGGACAAAAAAAAAACGTTATGTACCATGCATAAAGCCGGTGATAAGCGACCATTCTGCCCTCTAGGATGTTGCACCGATTCAAGTAGTCGACATTTATTATCCTTCGACTGCTACTTTCTCCAGAGAGGTTCACAGTACATTACACATTTACTCCAGGCATAACATTCGCGAAAAACTAGACGAACCCTAAAAGCACCTACTGGGTATGCGTACGTAATGGAGCTATTAAGAGTGTCGTGCAGGTCTTCCGAGTAAGAACTTTTGGACCCACTCAAAATGGCAAACGGACAGACATGAGGTTGTAAAATGTCTAACTACACTCTTCAAACGGTCACTAGAACTTTAATCGTGTTTCAACGGCCATAAACCTCATTGCTGCTACAGTCATACCTGCCTCTAGTGAGTTGGACTTGGTCTCAACTCTCTGACTTCTATATCCAGTCACTTCGGTCTGTAGTCACAGGGCTACCACCTCTAAAGACTATTCGAACACCAATCTGAACACCGGTTCTATGTACAGTATGTCAGCATGCATAGAACTGTACTAAGACTAACACTAAAACTAACATGTTCTGCAGTTACTTGAGGACCTCTTAGGAAGGTTCAGTGTCTCTGGTAGCCTTGGTCATTGGTCTCCTGTATTTTGAGTGTTAACATTTGCAATGTTTATGTACAGATATCTACGTAAACACGATTCCAATGGCAATGTTATTCTTTGTGACTTTATGTGAAACACCACGAACATTACACAATTCAGGAAAGGATTACCATGACTCACCCTGCCAATGTATATTTGTCCATTGACATCGATGGACAGCCTCAAGCAAGTAAGCATGTTTGGAATCGTAAGAAGCCATACATCGACAAACAACTAATCTAACTAACTTATGATGTACTGTGTTTTTTTTTTAGTTTCTCCAAGACATCAGACTTCCCCAAGAGGAAACCAACATAGGCGACCTGCTGATGGTCAAGGAACACCGCAAACATTACACATTTTAGGAAAGAATTACTTTTCCGGTCAATGTATGTTTAAAATCGTAGGAAACAATAAAGTTATACATCGATGAGTCCAACTAATATATTCATCTTATTCTGCAGTTTCTCCAAGACATCAGACTTCCTCAAGAGGAAACCAACATAGACGACTTTCTGTTGGCCCAGGAACACCGCAAACATTACACATTTCAGGAAAGAATTACTTTAATGACCAATGTATGTTTGAAATCGTAAAAACAAGTTATACATCGACGAACCCAACTAATATATTCATCTTATTCTGCAGTTTCTCCAAGACATCAGACTTCCTCAAGAGGAAACCAACATAGACGACCTGCTGTTGTCTTAAAATGCCATTGTGCATTTGAAATCGTAAGAAGCAGCAAACTCGTTCATTGACAAACAGCTAACCTAACTATGATGTACTGATATTTTGCAGTTTCTCCAAGACATCAGACTTCCTCAGGAGGAAACCAACATAGACGACCTCCTGTTGGCCCAGGAACGGCGGGAGCGGGAACACCACATCCAGGAGGTGACTGAGAAGATATTCGAGGAGTTAGACAGCGACCAGGACGGTTTCCTCATCCTGCGGGAGTTCATAGAGGGGCTGAGAAGGGATCCGGGCCTGCTACAGATCGTGCGAGATTCCACGGACAGTTGCCATGACAACCGCCTCCCGCTGGGACCAATGGGCGACGAGCAGACTGACAGCACGCACGCGCTGTGCGAAGAGGCGGGAACGAGCTGTTGCCATGGTGACCAGGCGACCAATGGGCACATGTACGGGCTGTCGTCAGATTTGGACAGGGAAGATGACGAGTCTATGAATTCTAACGCGGAAAAGTAACAAACCATCAAGAATAACATTTTGTCAAAGGACATTGTTGTCAGCCAATTTGGATCCATTTAAAGAGCTGTGAACGTACAATAAGTGTGGTTGCAATCGCCTGTTTCTATCTACCAGTACCAGTAACCGTGAAGTGATATTTTCATATATACCTTGTACGGATATATACACTTGAATATTATTCTGAAATGCAGACCTTCCACACTAGAATCTTGATGACCAACACCTAAAAATAAGCAACCTAAAAATAAGAATTTGGAACATCCTTACCGTGTTCATTTATGCATATATGCTAACATGAACCAGTTATTGTCAGACTGAGAACTGTCTGTTGCCATAGAGTCGGAGGCTGTGATGACTAGTATTCATAGCGGCAAAGAATCCCTGAGCTCCTATTGGTAATTCTGGAGCTGTGAATAGTTCTCTTGAGTTAGAGGTGTATGAGGTTTTAGTTGAAAGCCACAAGCTCTCGGGGAGGAGACCCAACCAGCCCCTGACAGCGAAGACAGCCTGTGTGTTAGAGGCTGTAATGACTAGTTTCACTTAATCCCCAAAGAATCCTGAGCTTCTATTGGTAGTTCTGGGAATGGGAATGGTTCTCTTGAGTTTGAGTTGTATGCTGTAGGAAATGAGACCCAAACTGCCACAGCCAGGGAAGGGAGCTTGTGTAACACAAATTTCACACGGGTGGCTGATGTTTTCCATTTGTAGTCAGTTTGGAAACAGGCCATTACCCTGATCAGCTATGTCTACCACTCTACTGTCAGGATTGTCAACCCAGGAACATGTATATTCGATTTGGTGCGTCACGTAAGCTTTTAAGGGATTTCCACGCTTAGTGGAGTGGATTTGTAAAAAGCAAAAAGCACAGAGATGTGTCTATTGTTCAATGTCAGGCTGATCAAAGTGAGAACATATGAGCTAGTTATCGGCCTCAAAAACACGCTGAAACGATTTCCTTTGGTTAAATTGTAGAACGTAGAATTCAAAGAGCCACTTTAAATGCTATATTGTCAACGCTGTCATAGCAGGAATACATCACATATTAGAACTTGATTTGCTGCTCCAAAGAAGGGTTTAAAGGCTTTCCTCAGAGTGAATTTGTAGACGGTTATAAGCTGCATATATAGATGATAGTACTACCTTGTCAGAATTTTGAAAGCTGGGATGTATGAGTTTGATTTGCAGGTCTCGACAAGGGCTTTAGGGGGATCTTCTCACGGCGAATGTTGAAACAGTTCGATGCACAGAAATTCTTCTCTGTTATTCCGTTGCCAAGACTGTCAATAGAGGAAGACGTGAATTTGATATCCCAGTCTCCAAGAACGGTTCGAAGGATTTACTAACACGGTTCAATGCACTCAATGCATAGAGAGATGTCTAGTCTGGAGTGCTCCGTATTATTAGTAATTTCATATACAGATAGATGTCACGATACGTTTTTCATGTAGTATTTGTGGTTTGCGGTCCAAAAAATTTCAACGTCGTATTTAAACAACTATACGGAATCAAATTACATAATATACTGAAATATTATATAACATATACATTGATATATCTAAAATTGATGAAATTCTGTGAATTTTCGACTCCGAAATTGGAGCTTTGTATGTGGTTTATTGTCAGTGATGAAAAACATTTATATGCAACAATTTAATTTCTTAAAATACACTCATATGTGAAGGGTTGTTCAGTCATGTTGGCTGCTTTTTGTAAACTACAGGAGAATATTGTTGCTGTATTCACATTTCTAAAGAAAATATAACAAAGGGCAAGACTGGTACGCATTTGAGAGCATTTTAAACAGTTGCCAATAAACTTAATCAAAGTACCATTTTGAGTGGCAGAGTTGGTCATTGCTTTTTCTAAACATTATTCTTCTCTTCATGCATTTTATATATACGGTTAGCATTAGGCAGTAGATTTTGGTACAAAAAAAGGAAACAAAATTTAAAAGCAAAACAACTATCAAAGAACGTCCAGAAACGTTTGATGTCTAAGCTGAAAACTTACGAGGTTATTTGTGGTCTGATATTGGATTTGATTACCTTAAAACATGTCTAGGCCCTGTACAATACATCACATGCACTACGTACATTTACATATTGTAGCCCTGAATCAGTGGCATTTTCTACTTCCTTAGAAGGACTTAACGATTACGGATTTAAGAAAGCACGTACATTGATCATTTTAAATGTTCCACTTTCTTGGACCAGTAAAAGTGTGCATAATCATGACGAAATGTTTTAAGGGATCTTGCTATTTATCTGAAGTGCCTGTTTATTTATTTATTTCTTTAATAATTTTTTTCTATATCTTTAATGAACTTTTCCATTTACAAAATGGAAGGGGCAAAACAGGTGATCAGTGCTCACCTTTACTACTTACTTATCATCTTACCCTATGCAAGACATAACGTCATAGAGTTTTCCTTCCTTCTGTCCTTGGTCACCTTCTTTACTAATCACCAGGATTACTGAGTGAGAATTATTCACCTCTACTATTATATTTTGATGACTTCAACTAGTTATTTATGACCTATACCAGTTGCTTATGACCTCTTGTAGTTTTGTATGACCTCTACTAGGTGTTCGTGACATCTACTAGTTGTTTATGACCTCTACTAGCTATTTGTAGCTATCATGTTGATCTCTACTAGTTGCTCATTGTGTAATATCCAAGCAGATCTTTCGGTTGGGTGGCAAAAGATCGTATCCATTGGCCATCCTGTATCCATTGGCCATCCTGTGTCCATTTCGGTGGCTAATGGACACTCCTCTGGCCAATGGATAGTTGCCACAGAAAGATCTGCTTGGAGATTATCATTGTGTCCATTCTTGACATGTTGTATTGGTGTGTTTCCTACTACAAATATACACGCCCTATGCACTGGTATCACCAGTAGGAACCTCGATGGTCTCCATCTGTGTGGGGAGCCCACCCGGAACCTTTTCCTCGGTAGGAGCGGAGTTTCCACCCCCGCTGCGCGCCACGGCCGGCGCCTTGGGAGCTCCGTCAAACCCGCGATTCAGTAGGAACATCAGCCCCAGACCCAGGGCAATGGTCACGATGAGAAGGCCGATAGCCAGACCAGCCATGGCACCTACGAAACATCAACAGTTTTATGTTTAAACGTTTGATCCAACACAAAAATTCTCTCACCTAGAGCTTTCGACCAGTCACTCTAGTCTTCCTCAGTAGACTGACCCAGTGAGGCTTGTCACGTGGCTTCTTTGAAGTGTGACACTGGGTTATGTATAGTTTTATTGGGTGGGCCGGCTACTCTCTCTTCACAGCCAAGGGCTCAACTGTGATGAACTTACAATAATTATTGGATTAACCCGCGCTGCATCAGGAACATCAGCCCCAGACCCAGGCCGATAGCCAGATCAGCCATGGCACCTAGCGTTATTAAACGTGAACAGTTTCATGTTTGAAATGACAAAGAATAACTAGAAAGTAGTTAATTAGGAATAACCTGGGAACTGTGGAGCAAGATTAGATAGTTAATTGTGTGGCTGTGTGAATGATGATGAAGAACATTGGAAAATATACATACAGATGAAGAAGAAAAGGCCATGGTTAGATATAAACAGAATAACATTCAAGTATTTTAACGCTATTTTGATTGAACGTTACAGCGATGTGCTGTTATATTCGTATCAAAATATATAGTAAAAGAGCCAGCCTTACCGCCGGAAAAGCCGATGAGGTTGTCTGACTGGCTGTCAAAGATGGCGTTCTCCACGATAGTGCCCGGGGAGGCAGGCACGACCACGGTCAGCTGGGAAACGGAAGTGACGACATTCAACATCCTGAATGAAAGGTGCTATGGATAGTCATGAACCTCATGAGCTTATAGATTGTCATTGGTTACAGAATTTCAATATCAACCAATCAGGCCGTAGTATTCCCCTTTGAAGTGCTGCCATTGGTTGGAAAGGATGACGTACCACATTCTGCAGCAACATGGTGATCCTGTCAACCATGGCCATTGGTTATACAATAGCAACCAATCAGAGCAAGGCATTTCCCTTTCAAGCACGGCCATTGGTTACACAATGTCGACCAATCAGAGCAAAGTATTTTACTTTCAAGCACAACCATTGGTTACTTAGGATAACGTACCACATTCTGCAGCTGAATGGTGACCCGGAAGCTGTTGGTGTCGATGGCGTTCTTCAGCAGTGTCCTGGCCACGTCCAGTGACGTCTGCGGCTTGATGACGGCGACATTACCAGTGACAGGCGGGTTGCCTAGCAACGTGAACCTGACGGTGACGTCACTTGTACTGGTGTAGGAGAACTGTGGAAAGGAAGGCTCGTATCAACGGTTATACGAATAAATAAAGTTTGAAAAAACATAATATATGATACCAGATTCTGGACAGGTAAAATTTTGATATCGTTTGATGATGTTTTATGATTGCTGAATATATTTTTATATTAATTTGCTTATCAGCCATTTTCTAATAATTACTTCACCCTAAGGGAGTGGGGATTGTTAAGGTAAGTCTCTCTGTATGTATGTATCTGTCTGTCTGTCTCTCTCTCTCCATCTTGTGTGTGTGTCCTTGTGTGTGTGTGTGTGTGTGTGTGTGTGTGTGTGTGTGTGTGTGTGTGTGTGTGTGTGTGTGTGTGTGTGTCTGTGTGTGTGTGTTTGTCTTTTTGTGATTGTCTGTGTGTTTGACCATGGGTGTAGAGAGTTGTTCTACGATTTCTGAATGCCTTGTTTTTTAGTACTAGGACAATGTGGTTTATGTTGAGACAAAGACGGCAGGGCAAGGAGGTTAAAATCAAATTGAACTCCTTGGTCAGGTTCAAAAGTTAAAACAATTTTTTGAGATGGAGAGCAGTTTGATTGTTCCAAAAGGTAATTTACGAACTCAGATTAACGTTCATGTTAGTATGAACAGAAAGACTGTACCCCGATGTTCTGTATGCGGAGCGGAGACACCGTCATGACCCGGGCCAGCTCGTACAGGAACACGTCACGGGCCAGAGTCTCACTCAGCTGGAACGCCGCCTTGTACTCGGGCTGGGGGGGGGGAAAGAAACGGTGTTGTTGTATCCTGAACCGCGTTTCATCCAGAACCATACCAAAATAGATGCCCTGTGTGTATTGGCCGCAGTCAGAGATTCAAGCTTTTTGTGGAGTCCTGCATACATGTATTTCCAGGTGTTGTTTTAGCTATTAAGTGATTATGTCCCATGCAAATCTAAGAGGTACGCCTAAGAACAGTTGCCTAAAATAGAGATACACGTCAGGTAATGAACCGATGGGATCAAATCTCCTTGGTTTGGTTATGTTTGCCTAAAATGGTTGCCTAAATGCCAAAAGCAACAGTTACTGGCAAATCACATTTTGTACGATGTATATGACACATTTGATCTCTTTGTGGAAGCCTAATGTTTGCCTTAAGGCTAAAACATCACATGCCAAAAGCAACAACAACCTGACATTTATTGTCACTAGGAAATCAATTTTCACATATCTTTGTGGATGTTGTTACCTGGTACTTTGAACATGATGTTCATTTTGTTGGACTCTGGGAAGCACTGAGTGGTGTCAAACACCCAGATGTAGGGATGCTCCTCCACGAACTTAAAGTAGTTCCAGGTGAAGACGTTCGCCTTGTCAGCAGATGCAGAGTTGATTGGCTGTTGGGATAAAAGTAAACTTTTTTTAATTTTTTTTTTATATTCCGAAACATGCAATCACAAGACGTGGTGACGGCACACTCAAGTTTTTTCAACTTATATTAATGCTGCCACCAACACAGGGACAGTACAATACTCATTTACACCTGAGCGAAGTGAGGAAAGTCGTGTAAAGTGCCTTTCCCAAGGGCACAAGATCGGTGGCATTTCAGGACTCGAACCCGGGGCCTCTGGTTCCGAGTCGAGAACGCTGCCGCTGCGCCACACGACCCCACGAAAGTAAAAAAGTAAACTTGAAGGTAGGTAAAGGTAAAGAAATCTTTTTGAGGCCATAGGGGCAGTGGGCTGTATCGAAGGCACATATAACAGCAAATATAACCTGGGAAGAGGCTGAGGAGGCAGTAGCCGTTAGACCCAGATGGAAGCTTGCTGCCCAATGTGCCTGTTGGCACAGGAGGACCTAAGGTCTAAGGTAAGGTGTAAGGCAAAATATGGAGTCCATCCCTCTCTGTAAAGTGCCCCTCACCAAAACATAACATCTAGCCAGGAATTGAACTCGTGGCCTCTCGGTTTCGTGTCCGCAAGCTTCAATTGATGAAACAGAATAGACAGAAAACTGCTCTGAGAGGGCCTATTGATTCACTACAGCACAAATATCATTAAAAAGGTCGTTTTTTTTTTCTTCCGAAGTACGATGGCCCATACGTACATTAACCCTAATCTGCAGCTTGACTGGAACTCGCCTCTGCTCCAGTGAACCCATGTAGTGCTGATACTCCGCCTGGAGGGAAATGATAAGACATCGTTACATAACGTTCTCACAACTTAGCCTGCAGTGTTAGTTTGTCTTACTCTTACGCTTATATGAATTATCTAAAAGAGAAAGGTAACATTTGCAAAGCAAATAAATAATCATTATAATGTTTACTTTCACATAACCTAGCCTAACAAACTACTTCTCTGTTTAATCTTACTCAAACACATTCATATACATATATGGTGACCAGCCCTCCAACTCTATCTACCCTGCCATTGCTACATAATGTAATCCAACAACACAGGGTGTTTGCTACAGCAACAGTCACTGGTCCAGGTTTTTTACCTTACTTTTTTGGAGGAGAAGTAGAAGAAAAAGGAGAATAGGAAGAACAAGAAGAGGATGAGGAAGAAAAAGAGAAGAAAAAAAGAAAAGTAAGAAGGGGAGGAAAAGAAGAAGGAAAAGAAGAAAGAGAGCAAAAACAGCATATTTTCCTTTCGCGAAGGTAAACATAACAAAAGACGCTGCCTAACCGAGTAGTAGTAGTAGTTGTAGTAGTAGTAGTAGTAGTAGTAGTAGTAGTAGTAGGAAAAGGAAGTAGTAGTAGTAGTAGGAAAAGGAATAAGGTAGGGAAAGGGAGGAGAAGAAGAGGAAAAAGACGTAAAAGAGCAAAAACGGTGTATCTTCCTTCTACGAAACACAACATTGACTAACCGATGAGTAGTAGTAGGTGAATTCGCTCTGCATGGGGTTAGTCGGGGGCCAGTCTGCGCGGGCTGCCAGCCACACGTCAGTGCGCATGCCCCGGGTCATTTGCTGCAACAGAGGTCAAGACAAAACGTCAACTCCGAATGCATTGTGAAGTCAACTGATTTAATTGTTAGATTTGTTTTGAGATACTGCTGGGTAACACTTTAATTTTGTATGCACATTGATACAAATTGAACTTTCTTGTACAACATTTGTAACGGATACAATGTATGAGAGACCCAGTGTTGACGCCACACTTCAAAGAAGCCACGTGACAAGCCTCACTGGGTCAGTCTACTGACAATATATGTAACTACCAACAAAACAATAAACAATATATGTAACTACCAACACAGATGGACTTCATGTATTTATTTTTTTTATATTCCCACATGTAATCACAAGACGTAGTGACGGCACACTCAAGTTTTTTCAACTTATATTAATGCCGTCACCAACACAGGGGACAAAACAATACCCCTTTTCACATCAGCGAATTGAGGAAAGTCGTGTAAAGTGCCTTTCCCTATGGCACAAGATCGGTGGCATGTCACGACTCGAACCCGGGACCTCTTGGTTCCGAGTCGAGCACTCTGCTGCTACGCCACACGACCCCACAGGTATTTATTTAATGATAGATGCTTGAATGTACCTTGCCCTGGTAGAAGGGAGGGTACTTGTCCGTCATGAACCACTCGAACGGGTTGCGCATGCGCACGTGGTAGGGGTCGGTGAAGACGGTGTCCCAGGTCTGGTTGGAGATGGGCGTGACGCTGCAGTTTCCGGTGGTGGGGAGAATCTGGTACTCGATCCCTGGACAACACAAGTAGTACGAGATTTGAGACTTCCGTAGAGTGTTTTGAATTTGTTCGTTCATCAATTGGATTTTAACCATGGATATTTTATGTACTAGGACAAAGGCTATGCAGAGTTGAAAAATCAACCATGCAATCTTCAGTTTTCTAAATTCCTCCTATGGTCGACTACTAATTTGTGTTAGCTGCAGTGGCGGGGAATATCTGGCACTCGATCACTGGACAACACAGAAAGTAAAAGATTTAAGAGCTTCTAGAAAGATTTTCGTGTTTTGTTCCTTCGTTCGTTCATTCGTTCGTTGGATTTTTACCATGGGTATTCTATGTACTTTAATCGGGATTAGGCCAGAGGCTGATGCAGAGTTGAAAAATTGATCATGCATGCAATCCTCGGCTTTCTAAACTCTCAACCTTCAAGTCCTGTTGGCTTCTGGCCAGACCTTCAAGTCGGCCCCATTTCCTGTGTCTGACCTTTTCACCTGTTATTAATGAATCTACATGTAGAAGTATGATGTGACAAAACTGCATCATATCATTTCCCCTACATTCTTAATGACGGATCAGATTTTCAATAAAGCATTGTTCTATAGGTTATAAAGTGGCTCCGCCCCTCAGGCGTTGCCAAGAAATAAGATAACACTCAGACCTGTGTTGAAGTCCTGAATGGTTTGAACCGGGATCACGAAGTCGACCAGGAAGTCCATTCGGGACAGTTTGTAGCCGTAGTCGTACCACGTCTGGAAAAAAAGCGACAGCTCGTTAACCGCGACGGGGGCCGACATCGTCTACCAGATACCTTTGACCCAGTGTAACATGTAACTACCAACGCAGATAAACTTGCATGACAGTTCGTTGTTAAATCGTTTTAATCACAAAGATGTTTCCCACTGCAAGTTGGTGCAGTTTTCATTCTAGTTTTCATCGCTTTGCTATTTGTATAACGAATGTAGCTACAATCATTATAGTTCCTTTGTTTCCTTGTTCGCTTCGCTCACTCGGTAGTTTATTCAGCGCGGTTTAAACCATGAACCCGCTTATAGCAATCTACTTACATCATAGTATGCGATGATTGTCTCGTACCCGCCGGCGGACGGGATGTTGGTGAGGTACTCTGTCCTGACGGCGTACCGGTCAGGCAGGGGAGGGAGGGACAGGGAGAGCTTCTCATTCAGGCACAGTACGTTCTCTGGCGGCTGGAAAAAAAGGGAACTTAACAGTTTAACTACAATAATAACATTTGCAAAGTACCCTCTATCCCAAGAAACTACTACTCTATTCTTGCTCAAACGCATACATGTATGGGACCAGCCCATCCAAATCTGTCCTGCAACTTGCTACATAATGTAATCCAACACAATTGAGAGAGGGACAGCTTCTTATTCCGGCACAGAACGTTCTCTGGCGGCTGGAGCAGAAAAAGAGGAAATACAGTAAAACTAGAAAGGTAACATGTGCAAAGTAAATGTAAAATGTCTACCTCATCAAATTACTGCTGTTTATTCCTGCTCTAACACATTCATATACTAGTATACTATCGTGACCAGCTCCACCCAACTCTGCAGCTTGCTACATAATGTAACCCAACACCACAGGGTGCCTGCTACATTGCCAGTTACCATGGTGACAGCCGTCTGGTCCTGGTCATTGACCGACCTTTTTGGATTTGTTCAGAGAAGAAGACAAGAAGACCACAAAAGAGAACAAAACCTATTGACATGTTTTTTGTTCAATCTTACCTGGAATATCTTCCCATCTACGGTCAGAGCAGGTCTGAAGAAGGTGAACTCGTACTGCCTCCTGAACGCACGCCGCATGGAACAGGTGCTAGCAGTGGGGCTACATCCTTGGCCCGCCACTACCACACGCACGGGGACAGAGGGCGCTGCTGGGCCGCTGGCAGATACCCACGCTACTGGCTTACTCCAGTAGTAATCCACACTGTCGATCGTTAAAATCAAAAGAAGGAAAATTAGTTCAGCAACTGAGAAAAATATGTTCTTTCTGTGTTTACGGGGACGGGGGAGTTACAAGTTTCCACCTTTGATCCACCAATGACTATCTGGCTATCTGTTTCTTCCTCTGCCTTCTGCTAAAAAGATGAATAGCTTCCTTTCCATGGCTTGTGAAGGTAGTTGTTTTCTGACACTAAGAGCTTTTGTGTATTAGTGGTCATTAGGAAATGGTAACTGTCAGAAATTTAAAATTGGAGCTGTATATAAAAGCTGAATCGCATTAGAAGTGTCATCTCCATGCCACATTGGATAAGACACTTCCTAGTTTCAAACAGAAACATTCAAACAAAACGATCAACTAATAGTAGCTGTTACGAGTCTGCGGTGTTTTGTTCCTGTGTGCTTACTTGAAGGTAGATGACCACTTGTCGATGTAGTTACACTGTCTCCAGTGTTGAACGGGAATCCCTCGGACTGTTTCTTCTCCAATGTAAGTGATGGGCAGTCTGAAAGGTGTCCATGGACATCAGGTTAGTGAATGAATGGGCATTTCTATTCACAAAAGTCAAATACCTGCCAACGATTCGGTAGCCTTGGTACTATCCTATTTGCATGCCCGGGCTCCCATACTCGTTCCCTAAAACTACTTAGGGAGCGAGTATGGGAGCCCAGGCATACAAATATGGCGCCCAGGCTAACGATTTGGTAGTCTGGGTCATAATCATTGAAGCGCCATCTAGTGGTGAGAAAAGGTAGTAAGCTACCAAAAAGTATTTCAATTTGGCTTATATCCAGACTGAAATTGTAAAAGATACCACCTCTTTAATATGTTACGCGCACAGGGTGGCTGGACATTTATCATCCATTTGGGGTTCACATAATTATGTTCTTCCTAGTATATGAAGGACTTGTTGTACATAGTCATCCTCGCGAAATAGGCTTGAGTTTTGTTGAAATAAAAATATGGACACCAACATGGCGGCCAAACGATTGATGACCTTACCGACTGGCGTCGAACCAGAGCGCCTGGGCAGTAGAGAACATGTGCAGCGTGCCGTTCTCCAGCTTGTGTCCGACCAGGAACGTGTTCCCGTCACTCATAGACTCCGTCACACACAGCGTGTCTGGGGGATAAATAAACAAACAAACAAACAAACAAATAAACAACATTTCCTGAGAGGGGTGAAAGAGGCTATTTGCATCAGGGCCCATCACCCTTCACTTTTGGGTAGTCTACCAGATACCTTTGACCAAGTGTTGACGTCACATTTCAAAGACGCCATGTGACAAGCTTCACTGAGTCAGTCTACTGAGGAAGACCAGAGTGACTGGTCGAAAGCTCTTGGTGAGAGAACTTCATTGTGTTGGATCAAAAGTTTTAACTTTAAACAACTAAACAAAGACACAAACTAGAAATGTAACACTTGAAAATCAAATGCATAAGGTTTGCCTTCACATTTTCAAGACTAACAAACTACTACTCTGTTTATAGGAATATATATACTCAAACACATTAATATATATGGCGACCAGCCCCTCCCACTCTGTCATGCCACTTGCTACAGAATGCAACCCAACACCACAGGGTGTCTGCTAGTTACCATGGTGACCGCCGTCTGGTCTAGGTCATTGACATTAAATGTGTTTGGAGTAGACTTACTCATACACGGCCCGGGCATGGTGACGGTCTGACCGTTGACAGTCTGCTGCTGTACACAGACCACACCTGGGAAAGAAAGGGAGAACAATTGCTATCAAATGTTTTACGACAATATCAAAAGATTATGAAGTGCAATATACACTTGAGATGTAGGCCCAAAGTTTCCTTTGTTTACCTTCATATGGTTACAAACTAATGTTCTGATTATTCTTTCTCAAACACATTCACGTATATGGTGACCAGACCATTCTTCAACTTGCTACAGTATGTAATCCAACACCACAGTGTGTCTGCCACAACACCAGTTACCATGGTGACAGACGTTTGCAGCTGGTCCAGATTATTTACCTTTAAGTTATTCGTTTGGAGAAGAAGAGGAGTAATAAACAGAGCAAAAACAATATGTTTTGCATCTGCGAAGGTGAACATAAATATAACGTTACTAGCAAAAGGAATATAAGCCAACAATGCAGTACATTTATATAGCTATAATAACAAGGTTGAGATACAAAAATAGGCTTTTTCTGCCTCACATCCTGTAAATAATGACACATGTATCGTCTATCCACACTCTCGTACCCTGGATATCATAGATCTCGTTCGTCCGGTAGTTGTAGATCTGGTAACCATAGTTACCGCCCGCCATGATGCCGATCAGCCCACGGTTGTTCGTGGAGTCGAAAAACTCCCACATCTGAAGGTCAGACGTTCAAGGTCGTCAGTAAATAAAGTTCGCAAGTAAAAAAAATAACAGATGATTTTTCACGATCTTGCATTAGATTTGGTGACTGCAGGGAATTCTATCCAAAGCAAACGTATATACAGAGTGTGACTACTTTTAACAGGAATAGTAACGTTAGTCAGTACCAAGGACAGGGTTTGTTACGTCTTATGATTATCTTCACATGGTCTACACATAAAATACTGTTTATTCTTACGAAAACACAACCATATATATTATGGCCAGCCACTTCAACTTGCTACATAATGTAACCTAACACCACAGGATGCCTGTTACAAAACGAGTTACCATGGTGAAAGCCGCATGGCCCAAATCATTGACCTAATATATAATTATTTGTTTAGAGAAAAAGAACAGTAAAAAAAGTAAAAAAAAAAGAACAGAATGAGCAAAAACAGTACTTTTCATTTGCTGTGTACTCGAGAAAGCAAGAAAGTATAAAGAAGAGTCTTACTTCTATTGTTTTCTTGGGTTGTCCATCCACAGCTTCAATGGTGATCTCTATTCTTGTCTCGAAGTCTTTGGGAATGGTGGGGAGGGGGACGGTGGTGTTGGGACCAGGACTACAGACATTCTGATCCGGCCATCCATTCAGCTGACCAAGTACGTATGTACACTGGACAACAGCCGCCAGGAAGAGGAGCGTTCTTCTCATCTTGTGTACCTGTAACGTGAAAATTGTGATATTTTTTCTCATTGGCACTACTAAACAGGAATCCCTGAAAAGTATTTTGGCGAATTTATAGGTACAACGAAAGGGAAGATCTGACTCTTTTATTGTCAGAGATCTGACTCTTTTATTGTAAGAATCACGAAAGACTTACAAAACGCAGAGTAATCTTTGTCAATGTGCAATCTTATTGTAAGCCCATGTGTATTGCATTGTAATTTTTAATTATGCAAATGTCAATATGCTTTTCATCTATCTGTAAAATTTCAACGCAATTCAGTTGTGCCTAAAGACATTCAGCACGTCTGCAAAGTTGATTTTAAATAAAGATTTTATTTGATTTTATTTGATTTGGTTTGATTTGACGTACTTGCAATGGGCCTGGTTGTGTTGTTATCCGAGTAATTTACCAGCCTGATCAACCTGCTCACATATGTACCAAAAATCTGTTTGCTTAACCAACACAGTCACTCCGAACTAAACAAATATTCACGCCTACCGGGCAGGGTTTAATCACCAAGCAGATTTTTAAATTGGTGACTGCAAAGACAGCATCAAATTGGCCAGGCTGTATCCACTTCGCCATCAAAGACTTTTAGCAGATCTTCAGTGGCGAAATTGTAACTGTCTGGCCAATTTGATGCTGTCTTTGCAGCCACCAAAAGATCTGCTTGGAGATTAAGCAGCTGCAGAGATATCTATGAGTAAATACACCGCGCACATTCCCTGCCTATGACTACAAATTACACGAACTTTGAACACTTGTTATAGAACACTGCGTGTGTTTACAAGTGGGGGGGGGGGGGTCGCGGGGGATGTGGTGATCGCACTACCATCTACTGATTTGTTTCAATGATTGAACAACTGGCGTGTCTCTAAACCTTGTATTTTTCAGACATCGTGAAACACTGGTATTTAATTACAAATACAACTATAACTGTACTGTTCTTGGCTGTAAACTAGCAGTAGATTAACTCTAAACTACAGTTGACAGACCAAATCAGTGTATGTCTCTGTACAATTCAATCCATCGTCGTTTGTATCTCGTTGAGTCTCTAAGATATTTTAATCAGTACGTGAGACTCAAGTCTGATGTTGTGACTAAGATACAGTTGAATTCAAAACCTATACATTTATTGTGTATTCTGTCGTTTGTATCAAGGAGGTCACCATTGGTTATGCAATAGCGTTGTACAAAAATCATTAAGTATTGTTTCCGAGCGACTGAACTATAGGGCAATGTGACTAACATCAGTGATTATGAAGGAGTCATAAAGAATCAGTGTTGTTTCTAAATATGTTCAGATCAAAGGCTTCTCCTTGTGATTAAGTCATAGATTTACGATTAACGCAGACATTGAGATGACAAACGCATGATCACAAGACACTCCATGTCTAAATTAACGGCAATGCTTTGGATTAATTCAAAGCACTTCTTTTTTAAGATATTTTCTGGGTTCGCCGATAAAAAGTGCCAAGGTCAGCGGTTATATAAACGCCCTTATCGATAACCAGTCGTGGCGGGGGGACCAAACGGCACGACAAACACAAACTTTGGACCTCGGTCCACAAAACGCAGGCAACAAAATGGTAATCTCCAAGCAGATCTTTTGGTGGCTGCAAGAGAGTATCAAATTTGCAAGACAGTATCGAATTCGCAGGGCATTATCATATTTGCCACCTGAACTCGGTGTCGAAATAAAGAAAAGATAGCAGTACTAAAATAAAGCCCGATAAAAACGCCTAAAACACGTCAAAATTGGCCAAAGTCTAAACCTTAGCTTGGAGAGTAACAAAATGGCGGCGCCCGTCCTTTTACGAAATCTGATTTAGAATCAGTCCTACTGTAGCCTAAAATGATCGACAGCATCCTCTCTGCTGATGTCTAACCTTATCCAAACGTGGTCATAGTCACTCCACATACATCCAAGATTATGAGTGAATAGATCCACATAGTCTGACCAAGGAGGTAAGAAAAGGGTCATGGTCTGACCAGTTTTCCGTTGGCAACCAGAGATTTTGCATGTTTTCTTGCTCCTTATACATGGTGTCAGCGGTGGGATTCTGGGAGTATTTTAAATACTGAGCAATGCAAGCGCTTGTTATGTCCTTACGTTTAGGGCCAAGTAATAGTTACGTAAACTTTAAATACGTTAAGAGGCGACCAATCATTTAGAGTGGGCGATTTAATGATCACGTGACCAATCTGAGGTACCATAAGATTGTAAAATGCGCATACGTCGTACAAAATAAAGATAGCAAAATGTTAAAGTTAAAGACTATAACTTTTAGCGAACTGCTGAAGTGAAAGAATTCTTACTGTATGCACGCGTTGTGGATTCTATGGTACTCTAAGATTGAAAGATATCAGTATTGACATACTTCTGTCTCTAGTACAAAGTAACAAAATTCACGAGGGAATATTAACTGTATCATTTGCTTAATAGTCACATGCATGTAGTTCTTTGTAAACACTTAGCAACAAGTTTGCAACAGTGCACCTGCCATCAAGGGTATTGTGATACAAAACCATTTCGCTACATTGTTCTAAAATGTTGACCGATGCATTGCCTTAAACCAACCAAATGGCAAACAGTGCAAATTTGCGAAGCACGAGCGAAACAATTGACAAATAAAAGCCTTTACGTGCTAAAAACCTTATACTAAAGAAGAGAACAGACTCACCCTTATATTGCACGTTCCTTGGAGTAGTTTTGCGCAGTTGGGGCTCCAGAAAGTTCTAGCAGAACAAGATGGCGGCCATGGATTGTAGAAGAAAAAGCATGTGACGGCGCAGCGCAGGGGTGTGCCACGGGATGACCCGACCAAGGTACGTCACAAGAACGGGTTAATCATCGACCTTTCTAGATAACTCACTGATAAATAAACTGATGTGTGAGTTTGCCTCCTTTTTACGTGTTTTGCTACTATTATTACCTTTTTATTGCTTCTTTTTCAAGAGTATTCATGGGACAAATCATTGCTTTGGTAAAAAAAAATTCAACATACTTTAAGGCATACAAAAGGATGATAACAAACCAGCCAAAACAAGTTGAACAGCCGTAAATCTATCTAAATCAGAGATCGAGCGACTGATTTTGGTTAAGGGTTGGTCCAAATAAGTTTTAGAGAAATCATACAAGTCAGCTTACTATGCAGATTCTGCCACCAGAATGACAAAAAATATTGACCAATCAAAAACATGCCACAAACTATATGTGTCAGTGATATGAAGCCTTCCATGTAACAACTAGTACTAGCCAAGTGACCAGTAGCCATGCTGTACTAATCGCAATTATATGTTTTTCAATCAACTTATGTACCATAGACAATATCTAGACCCCCTAAAACTAAAAGAAGTTTGCTACTCGGTTGCTAAGGGAAACGGCGGTATGTCCAACTATGTGCACGGCCGGACTTCGGTACTACAAACACTGGGGACTGAATGTACGGTCACAAACAAGCGACTAAACCGAGCTCACCGCTATACAGCACTTTGTATGAAATAACTATCCAACTACAGAATCCTTCAGTCATTAACAAAAAGTAGTGGATGCTACCTGAAACGTCTGACAGTTTTTTTAAAATCTAGCCTGTTGCTTGAGTAACTGCGCTCTTGTGTGTCTCATTAACTGGATGTCTAACCTTTATCGACATAATGTGTACAGATTATACATATTGTTATGCAAGGAACTGCTACTGGCCTTTTACAGGTAAAGAAAACCCAGGCCTTTATGTCCACTTTGTTTCTAAAAACTACTATAGTAAAAGATATATCTATTTTATGTTGATAAAGAACCATTTCTATTATAAAACGGTTGCCTTATACAGCTATCAAAATTAGATTTGAGTGACCCTTGATTCAATACTTGTAACTGGAATTTGATGCAAAATTCTATACAACAAACGTTTACATTTTTCATTATCTACAAAAATCATTGAACGATCTGTCAAACCTTTGGTCTCTGTGGTCGAAGCTTGTATTGGAAAGTTATGTTAAAATTTTTGTTTGTATGGGGGAGGGGGTGGCTAGTACTTACTCACCATTTACTTTTAGCTACTCTGTATATAGACCAACTAAGGATTACCATTTAAAATAAAAAGTGACTACTAGTACATTGTATTATTGTTGTCCACAAGGTTATCGACAAGGATAAAAAGTAGCAGAATCATTTATTTTCCTTTTCATTAAATCACAGATTCATTTGTGATGAGCGCAACTTTTCAAAGTATTGTAACTGCCTACATTGTACCTAGCAACAGTGCATGATGTCTATATACTAAATGTGCATATTAACATTCTACTACAGCAATGAATGTAGTCCCTTGACCCCAATGTAATCAGATGTTTAAAACTGAATATCTTTTGCATATATTGACACTGTCACAGCTACACCTTTGATGCACTTTTAACCCTTCTTCTTCTGCCTAACCCCGTAACTAATACAATCCTGGTGCCAAAAGCCTGTCTTGGGAAGGAGATGGTTAAACATTGCAGAAGAACATCACAATACACTTGTATGGAACCAGAGCCCCAGAATACCATGATAAACTTAAAGTCATCATAAATAACATTCATGCAAAAATTATGATCATGAAACCAGATAGTGTTGAGTGAGTGAGTGAATGATTATGTAGTGATGAAAATAAAGACCTCATTCAGCAAAAATCATCTGTTACATGTAGCTTGGTCTGTATTTGAATGTTGATATAATTCTACTTTCTTATCCTATTGTCTTATCCTCTTTATAACTTGTCCCAGTAGCTTAAAGAATAAAACCACTTTCAAAAACCAATGAAAAGTTATGAGGGTAAGTATACTTTGTTGTTATCTATCATCCCCCCCCCCCAAATACGAATCCTTATTGACACCACCCTTGTACATTGTACTTTAATTCTGAAGGCTTTAAAATGCTGTGGTAAGACACAGCGAGTAGTGTCACAGGATCACTAAACCTTGTATGGCTGTGTTTAGAGTTAAAACTTTCGATCCAACACAAAAAAATTCACCTAGAGCTTTCCAGCCAGTCACTCTGGTCTTCCTCAGTAGACTGACCCAGTGAGGCCAGTGTTGATGTCACACTTCAAAGAAGCCTAGTGACAGGCTTCACTGGGTCAGTCTACTGAGGAAGACCAGAATGGTCGAAAGCTCTAGGTGAGAGAACTTTTTGTGTTGGATCAAAAGTTTTAACTCTAAACATGTAACTACCAACACAGATGAACTTTCATGATAGTACTTGTATGGCTGTGTTTTGATGATATTACCGGTACTCAAAATGTATTGGACCTCCCCTACGATTTGTACATGTAGAATACAGTTGTGTAAGTTCAGAAGTTAGATTCTCCTAAACTTCTGTGAAATTGAATGAATCTATGCAGCAATGTCAATGGCTCTCCCCCTTCTTGCCTGCAACCTGAAAAAAGCACAGTAGAACAGTGAATAAAATTTCATGTCTAAATCCACTGAGAAAGATACACAGGTAAAGAATGTAGTCTGTTGATTATATACATTATATACATGCACATGCAGAGGTCTTTCAAAGGTAGGCTATATACTTCAATCAAATTTTATAACTGCAATATCTGTGTTTGGCTGATTGTTGGTTTACGTTTTTTAAGCTGAAGTTTTTAGAACCAGTTTTGTACATGTACAGTACAACATACAAGCTGCAAAAGAGCAGACTGTAAGGTTTGATCCACTCACTACAGAGTAGACCCTAGTCTTGGGGTAAGTGTGGTGGTATCTTTAACGTGCTTGAGGTGTCTATTCTCAAACATGAGACCTGTTTTTATGTCCTAGCCTGGAGTCCAGCCTTGCTAACTTTAGTCTGCTCCTCAAGATCTGTTACCCCGCTGGCTATTCATATTATATATTACTATTGTAGGCGGGGAGCAGATCTTGGGGAGTGGACTAAAGCTAACAAGGCGGACTCCAGGCTATTTATGTCTCATGTGACAAGATGTCCCTAAATGAAGCTAGGTACTCAATTTCACCTGAGGAAGTAGATGCAAAGTGCCTTTCTCATGGGCACAACATTGAGGTCTGCCAGGGATTCGAACCCAGAACCTTCAGATTCTAAGTCATCAACCCTTTCCACCTTTTCCCTTTGTGGCAACATACAGGTTACAGAGACAGACATACACCAAGGAGATTTAAAATCAAATTTTGAACCTCCTTACATACACAGATACCAACCCTTTTGAATTCCGTCATGTTGGTAGCTGATACGGGTGTTCCGATGAAACCTAGGTAGTTCACTACTGTTGTCTCCTCCTCTCCCTGGTTGTCTTTTACAAATATCTGTGGATTCACAAAGATAATTTATACAGTTAACAATGGCACTATAATCATTGTTCAAAGGTTAGGTGTAACAAGACATTTGGTGAAATGTAGCGAGCCAGTAGAAGCTGGTGTGTTACGTCGAAGTGTGCACTGGTTATACGGAAATGTGGTTATACCTGTGTTATACCGGCTATGCAGATACAGATACAGATATCATTATCAAATAAGCTCATTTTTAAGTCTTTAAAATTGTTTAAAACAGGCAAGAGATTTAAAACTTATTGGCCTAGGGCAGGATTGGTAAAATGAGAGCATTGGACCCTGTTGACTGACTAAACTTCTATTCAGGATCCAATGTTTTCCTTGAGTGACTTACAGTAACATTCTGTATGTTCTGGAACTTCACATATCGGAGGTTGATGACGGCATCTTCTTTCACATCATCTGCTGTTAACCTGTGAAAACAGAACATTACTTTAAAAAATCTTGTTCCTTTGTATAAAAAATTATGCATTTAAAGTTTACTATCATGAAATTTCATCTGCATTGGCTAAGTTACATGTTTAAAGTTAAAACTATTGATCCAGGTGAGAAAACCCATCTTGTGTTGGATGAAAGATTTAAATTTTTTCTGTTTTTTAAAAGACAAATAAAGAAATTGTAGAAACAAAGTTCAGAAGTACATGTAGTACGTTTTACTAAAAAGATCTAGTTTTATGAAATGTTTGTACTCACTCAAACTGTTGAACAGCGTCATTTCTCTCAGCGGCATCAAAGTCTGGTGTGGCCGGCTGGTTGATAAACACCTTCACTGTTTTTGGTGCCTGGCCTAGTTTGGGTACAAGAGGAGTTTATGAGTCAGAAAAAAGAACTGGATGTGAACATAAACAAAAGCATGTTTGTGTTGTTGAGTTGAATGATTATGTTTACTGAAGAGAACATTGTTTTTGCTCAGTTTCTTCTTCTTCTCCAAACAAATAAGGTCAAGAACCTGAACCAGACGTCTGTCACCATGGTAACTGGTGTTGAGTTACATCATGTTGCAATTTTATAGGATTAGGGATTGAGACTCCTGTCACCATATATGAATGTGTTTGAGTAAGAATAACAGAGCAGACCATATGCGAAGGTAAACATTATGCATTTGCTTTGCAAATGTTACCTTTCTAGTTAGAGTATAAAGAAACACATAAGTACTATGACTATGACCCACCGTTATCAGGCCCCTGGATCTTGAGAGAGTGCAGCTTGACAGGCTGGTTGAAGGAGACAGTCATGATGAGCTGCTCATCACAGTCTGACTCCAGGTACTGTCCACCCTTGTCCAGACAGTGGCCGAACGGATGGTCATCACTGTCGTTTAGACACTCACAGCCTGACTTCATGATCATAGAGTTCAGGTTCATCTGTGGAAAAAAGATAAGAGATGCATGGAAAACAAAAAAAATGGGAAAGATTTGCGAAGCAAACACATAATGTTTACTTTTGCATATGGTCACTCAAACTCCTGAAGTTAAAGTAAATTTAAACTTAAATTTGAGTTACCAAAGTACTTCCGAAAATAATTTCACATCAGGTTGGTAGAACATAGGATATTGGGATTTTTTTTATACACAAACAGTGGCGACAAGCAGAACTCCAGTCAGAAGCTCTGAGGAAGGTGTCTGATACTAAGTGATAGACATCGAAACATAAGCAAGGTAGGAAGAGTACCTGGTTAAGAAAATCTCAATACCTCACCAAAGTACTGTAGAGAAGCATCGGTGATGGTTAGACATCCACTGGTAATACGATACGCCAAAAAGCAGTAACTCAAGCAACTGGATATGATTTTGGAAACGTCTGACCATTTCCAAAATCATATCCAGTAGCATGTCGGCAGAACGTACTGCGCCTGCGCAGAACCCTGATTTTACGCGGTTTTCGTTGGATATTTGGTAAACATTGCATCAGAATTTTGCCTGTTGCAGAGGATATGTTTTCCAACATAACATTTGGAAACTACAGACGGAGTGTTAACCTTATATGCACAAATACAATCTTATATGAGACGTTCTGCCGACGTGCTATATCCAGTTGCTTGAGTTACTGCTTTTTGGCATACTGTACAGTGTAGAGAAGAACTGACCTGTCCAGGCACCCCAACCCCGCCTGACCCCTCCTGTCCCTCCTCCTCCTCGTCTCCCATCCACTTCTTTACCTTCTCCTCCAGCTGGTTCTGGTCGGCTCCCTGCAGCTGGTCAACTTTCGTCTTGTTACGGAAGAACAGGAAGGTTGGCATTGCTCGGACGCCATTACTGGATGCAGTTTGCTGGAAGACAGGTAGAGCAAATCAAATTATTTTCTTTATCTTTTATCTATTTGTCTATCATCTTGTTAGTTTAGGGGTATAGTTGGTTAGCTCCCTGCAGCTGGTCAACCTTTGTCTTGTTACGGAAGAACAGGAACGTCGGCATCGGACGCCATTACTCGATGCTGTTTGCTACAGGGATAAAAAGAGTGAGTCACATTAGAGTGTTTATTATTACTAGTTGGTTAGCTCCCTGCAGCTGGTCAACCTTCGTCTTGTTACGGAAGAACAGGAACGTCGGCATCGCACGGACGCCATTGCTTGACGCCGTTTGCTGGAAAAGTAAATCAAATTATTTTCTTTATCTATTAATTATCTATTTGTTTATTGTCTTATTACTCTAGTGGCATAGTTGGTCTGCCCCCTGCAGCTGGTCAACCTTCGTCTTGTTACGGAAGAACAGGAACGTCGGCATCGCACGGACGCCATTGCTTGATGCCGTTTGCTGGGAGACAGGAAGAGTAAATCAAATTATTTTCTTTATCTATTAATCATCTATTTGTTTATTGTCTTATTATTCCAGCTGGTTCTGATCTGCCCCCTGCAGCTGGTCAACTTTCGTCTTGTTACGGAAGAACAGGAAGGTTGGCATCGCACGCACACCATTACTGGACGCCGTTTGCTAAACAGAGAAGGAATTTACATCAAATTATTCAAAGTATTTCTATAATAATTTCTATGTCTATAATTATATAATTCTATGTCTGGTCCAACTTTTGTCTTGTTACGGAAGAACAGGAACGTCGGCATCGCACGGACGCCATTACTCGATGCTGTTTGCTGCAGTGATAAAAAGAGTAAGTCACATTATTTCTATTAAGCTCAAAGTGTTTAATATCACTCTAGCGGCATAGTAGGTTTTGGTCTGCCCCCTGCAGCTGGTCAACTTTCGTCTTGTTACGGAAGAACAGGAACGTCGGCATCGCACTGACGCCATTACTTGATGCTGTTTGCTAGAAAATAAGTAAATCACATTGAGTCATCATTGGCAGCCTAGTGATCACATTGAGTAAAGGGCTTGAAATACTGGGTGCATGTGTTACCTTTGGGACTTGACAGCTATTTCCTCACTTGATTTACGAGAAAATCATGACCTAGTTTTGGTTGGAGATACATGTCCTTTTTGAGGTCCCGAGCCACATCTTAAGCATATATAAGAATCCACTACACTTAGTACTTCTTCCCAGGGAGAATGGTTCAAACCTTAACAGTCACGTCTTAGGCAGCTTGTACTAGTACCTTTGCACATTCATTGTGTACAAACTTACTACTGTTTAAATGTAATGCCTACAGGCAGTTTACTGGATATGCAAAGCAAACAAGTCTTTGTTTCATACATACCTGGCACTGGTCCACGTTCACCTTCACAAACACGACTGTCGGGTACCGAAGGCTCAGCTGGTTGAAGAAGGGAGCAATCCTCTGGCACGGGCCACACCTGGACATATCAAACAAAACAATATATATACAGGGCTTGTTATTTTTTTATTTTGAGGCAGCTGCCTTCAACTAGCTGAAGATTCTGCTGCCTTTTTGTGGCTAATACGGAGCCTCTAATACGAGATGAGGTTCGCCAGGCCTCCATCCAGGAAATTATTAATTGGTGTTACGTGCCCTTGCCAAGGGCACAAGATGAGGGGAACAAACCTTACAGTACGGTTTGTACATACTGCAAGTTTTAACTTTTACATACTACATTTGTACATATACAACGTTGTACATGATACATGCTATATTCCGGTATGTGCTACCACAAAGTGCTCTACAACAAGAATTCGTATTAAAAAAAAACTTTAAGTATCTTAATCCACCAAAAGGCCAATCCTACCAAACACTTCTGACAAAATATACATAACACGGTTATGACATGAATATGAGAGAATTCATAGGAAGATACGATTCCTGAAATAATTATTTTATGCAACGTCACTACTAAAGCGACTGTGTTTCCGCCATCTCATGGTGCCCCCCTCCCCACTTACCAGTCGGCATAAAAATCCACCACCACCAATTTCGTGCCTGCGTTCGTCAGTTCCACCTGAAACTGGGCGTCTTCCGTCACAACTCGCACGTTCGACATCTTGGTAAGATATTCTGAGGAAAAATTCGGCCGAAAAACACACGATATACGAGAAAAGTCGTCAGATTATCAGTCAGACAGCGCCAAACATGAATCAAACGACAGCCGGATATGATTTGGAATGGTCCACTCACCAAAATAGGGGTGATGATAACTTTCTAATTTCGCGAAATAAAACTGTCAGACATAACGAATCACAGAATATTTGTGCTAGAAATAAAAAGTTTACAATAGAATTAATTTTTATAAAACACTATGAGAGCTATTGATGAAAAATATGTACAAAGAAATAAAATACCTTATTTTCTTTCTGATTGTGGTGATATCGTCCGTTCCGGTCAAAGTTCAGTACGAAATCTTACCGCCATTTTTGTTGTGTTCGATACACGGATGTAGAGAGTTTCTGGCATACTTTTGGCGATTTAACTCCACTTCGCGACGCTCTACTAGCTCAAATCGTCCTAAATGAGTGCGGTAGGACTCCGAGGCCTCATCATGAGGCTCGACAAGCGGGTGGAAGCGCTTCTTCCTCAGAGAATTCGCGCGGTTTGGAACCACCCAGCCGGGCCGAAGACGATCTTTTTCTGGGCTCCGTCCTTCAAGTGGGCGCTCGTTATCGCCGGGATAGCCGACGTCGTCCGACCGCCTGAGAAGCTCAGCGTCTACCAGTCCAGCGCTCTGGCTGCTACGGGGTGTATCTGGTCTAGATACTCGTTTGTAAGGGTTCAGATTTTGTTGTTTTTGAGGGGGAGGGGCGTTCTCAGCTTCTGTTCTACAGTAGCAAGGTCATACTGAGGTCAGGAATTTTAAACGCCCCCCACAACGAAGTTATTCGATTTTCTGCATGCTCAGATCATGTCAAGGTTGACAAACGTACGTTTGAAGTCCTTTTAAGTTCTTTTAAAAGGACTTTCCCCTTTCTTTCTCTTAATAGTTAATTTTCAGGGTTGCTATGTACAACCAAAGTTTGGTACAACCTTTTTTCTATATGGTACATGTACATGTACGTTATGTAAGAAGCAAAGGTCTTAAAGTTCTGGTGGGACTTGCGTAATCGTCAAGCAGATGTTGGGGGAAGGACAAAATGTTGTTGTCTGACACCCCATTATCTTGCAACTTAGACCCTCCACATATTTTTCCCAACACGATTTCTGCCACAGACATCCATACAACTTTGCAGTATCAGTAATATTAAGTGTAACTGTGTAAGTTTATACACTATAATGACTGTATAACTCAAAAGTGTTGTTTAGAACTAGCTGGTGAAGGTTGTTTGTCATCATTATGAACATCATGTACAGTCAAGATTTCTTCTTTTTCTTATCTCCAACAGGTCATCATCCCAGTGAACTACAACTTGTTCAGCGTGAACATTTTCGTAGCTGCCACAGGGTTCTTCCAGCTCTCTAGGATATATATGTACAAACAATCTTTGAAGGAACTTCCACCAGCAGAAACAGCAGAAGAACCAGAAAAAACGTCCGCGGCATAAGGCTTATCGGATAGTTGTGTGTACTATCAATGCACTGTGTTTTAGCTATTGGAATGAAGCCTTAGATAGAGATTTAAGGAATTGTACGGTTGGAGTTTTAGCTTTCAATTCAAGTCGCGAAAACTGCCACTTGTCGCACTTTTGCCTGTAGCTATGGCCGCACTCAGGATGGCTGACCTACTGCTTTGGTCATGTGACCTCACAGGGTCATGGGTCAAAGTTGACTGAATTACAGATCACTGTTATGTGTCTATTGATGTATTTTAATGAAGACCAAAGAAAATATCCCATATGAAGAGGTGTATACTGTGGACAATGAAGCATAGCATATCTGTTTGGTCAATTGATGTCCATAAATATGAAATGTTCAAAAGAACTTCTCGACAATACGTATTCTCAAATTTTAACACCAGTGATCCTCAAATTTCAAGGGTAAAGAAACAACATTCAACCAAAGATTGTTGCATTTCCACAGAGATATGTTTCCTTATTGGTATTTATTGAAAAAACAAAGGATGTTTCAATTATATATGTATTTATATTTGCTGTGGAAGTGGGAATCAATCTTCAAATTATTTTCCAGTCATTTACATCAGTATTACATAAGACTGAAAGAGAGAGAGACATACGATGTGTCAAATTTTGTTTTGCAAGCCTCTTGCCCATCCCAATCTAGATATTTGAGTTCTGCTACTAAGTCAATACAACCAGCTTTTGTTGTGATAGGTGTAACTACCATATAGTTAATTACACTAAGTTAGCAAAAGGTAACAAAGAAACCAAGAGGGGCCCTACTGTCAAAAATTTAATAACCATGTTAACCTGTTATAGGCTACAAATTCTATCTGGCAAATGTACACAGTGAAAAACTAAGCGTACCAAAAGTTAAAGGATGTGAAATGTACAGTTTGCTGTTCACTGGCATAATAACCTAGTGATGAAGAAGTAACCTAGTAATGAAGAAGTACCTGTGGCTTTTTTTAGGGTATTTTTGTTTGCTGGTGTTTACACTAAAGTTATTTGGGTCAATGTTGTTTGTGGTAAAATTAGGGTTATTGTGAAGTCATTGAGATCTATGCAGTAGGGTACTTTAAATTAGGGGTTAGGGTTAGATTGTGAAGTGTTGACAAAACTGGGCTACAAGAGCCAGTGGAAACCATCATATAAAAGTGGCTAAGGTGTGTATGTTTTAGATATATTGGACTTTCACCTTTGCACACAAAGTCTTATTCAAAGGCCAATGATTTAATACTACTGTCAGAAAGTTTCAAGCTGTGGTCAAGAAAGGTATTCCCTTGTAAGACTTGTTTTCTGTATGGGTAGTTGAAAAGGAAGCTTATTCAGACATTTTTTTTTTAATTGTTAGCTTAACTGTTGAATTCTTGAATGTGTTCAGCTGGCTATTTAGTGTAATGCTTAAAACATTGTGTTGGGAAGAGGTACTCAGTATCTAATACCTTGTCTACTTGGAAGATGGGTTAGAGTGTCTTGTGTTGACATGGCTGTTACAGCAGATTGTATAATTCAGTAATAGTTGTGTGTAAAGATATTTGTACTCGTATGTGTGTACAGGGAAATCCAGATAATGAGCTGAATTGTACAAAATTGTCCATAAGTGTTAAAAACGCTTGAGTTTTATCTGTAATGTATTTCAACACTGTGACTATTTGAGGCACAAAAGGACAAGTATGTTGTTTTATTCGGAAAGAGATCTCTGGCTAACGTGTGGTTTGAGCCTTGAAACAATAAAAATCAATAAAAATGCAGGACATTCTTTTTGTTTTAAATGTTGTTATGCTAATATTTGTTATTTACACAATTCCTAAAATACCCCTAAATACTAACTTACATGTAGCCCTGGTGTAGGGTTAGTCTCAGTCATAGACAGGAAGTGTGTGTGACAATCCTATAGTATTTCCATAATTCAAACCGGACTACTCAAGTCCAAGCTTAGATCTAGCAACGATTTTTGGCACCAGCCTGGGTGGAGCCTGTAGTATGGTATAGTATAGTGATTCAGTTGAAAATACTCTAAAATCACGCAAATGCATCCCTAAGCATCCACTTCTGCATATCGCATCCAAAACCCCTGGCATTAAATCTGAAGTTCAAATTTACCTCAATGCCTGTAATACCTTCTTTAGTTGGAATGTCATCAATTTGTTTAGCATGTGACAAGTAAAGGTTTGCTCTTTCTTTTCTCTTCTCTTTCTTTTCCAGGAACCAAAATGGATCAGTCGCTTCCAGGACGCAGCGGCTCCGCCCGCAGCCGAATCCCGTTCTCTGGGGTGGCTAGCACCGTGTACTTACTGATCTTCAGTGGGATCTGAGGAAAGCACATGGGAATCAAAGATTATTGAAGCAGCAAACTAACATTCAAAGCAACTGTATCATATTTATTGTACATTCGCATTGTTTAGCCGAAAAACTACTGCTCTGTTTATTCTTTAAAGTATACACATTCAGGTATATGGTGACCAGCCCCCCCCCACACTTCAATTTGCCACGTAATGTGTCGGAGTATTTCAAATACATCCCTAATTTTAAAGAATGCACTTCGAATCACAGAACCATGTCTGACCCATTCAAGCATGGAGTTGGATAGGCACGGTTCTGGATATGATAGAAACTTTCCAGAACCGTGCCTGATACTAACCCTAACCCATTCAGGCATAGAACTAGATAGGCACGGTTCTGGATACGATACGGCCTGAACGTAATCTCCAAGGGAATCATTCGGTGGCAAGGCAGTATCCATTGGAGTAGTGTCCATTAGCCACCGATCGCGAAGTGCTGGCAGATCTTCGAAGACTGATGGACACTCCTCTGGCCAATAGATACTGTCGTGCCACCGTATGATCTGCTTGGAGATTACGTTCAGACCGTATCTTATCCAGAACTGTGCCTATCTAGTTCCATGCCTGAATGTGTTAGGGTTATGGTCAGGCACGGTTCTGGATAGTCTCTATCATATCCAGAACCGTGCCTATATAGCTCTAGACCTGAATGAATTAGCCTTAACGAACTGCAGAACGTACTTCGGTATCGGGTCCGGTGACGAAGCGATACTTCATCAGCACCTTGGCCAGTCCAACCTTATAATAATAATAATAATAATGGTTTATTTGCTTCATACACACAGATTCCACTTTGCAGCCATTGCTGAAGTACCGTAGTGGACTGTTTACATTGTGTCTAACTGCTACACATCGTAACAGCATAAATGGTAGTAAAATATTAAGATAAAAATGGCGGGTAGGTGACGAAATAGGTTTAAAACATTACATAGATCTACATTTGTTGATAACATTGTGCGTAGGTACTAGGATAAATTAAAAGCATCACATAGGTCTATATAAGTAGAAAACATTAGGCGTTGAAATAGCGGATGTTTTATTAGATAAAAGTACAACGTAGATAAAAGTATTTAGTAATACATAGATCTGAAGTATTTAAGTATCTAGCATATAGGGCGTACCTTCAGCTCCATCAGAGCAAGCCGCATCCCGATGCAGTTCCTCGGTCCCACCCCGAACGGCAGCCAATCGTACGGGTCCCTCTTCTCTCTCTCCTCCTTAGTGAACCTACAGTGGTGTACGTTGGTAAAAATTAGTCATCCAGGGTTGACTACAAGCTATTTATTCAGAATTGTAACATGACAATACAAAGTGTGCACTAGGCAGCAAGTATGGATACATAGATCCAACACAAAATGTTCTCTCACCTAGAGCTTTCCACCAGTCACCCTGGTCTTCCTCAGTACTAGACTGACCCAGTGAGGCTTGTCATGTGACTAGATACCTTACTAAACTTAAGGACTGTACCTTTCAGGGATGAACTTGTATGGCTCTGGCCAGCGTTCGGGGTCGTAGTGGATTCCAAGGAAAGGAATGACAACCTTCGTGTTCTTCGGGATGGTCAGCCATTTCAGCTTGACCTCTTCCCCTGCAATACGGTCACAGCTGGAGAAGTACAAATAAAGGTAATAAAATTGTACCATGATGTAACCCAACACCAGTTACCATGGTGACAGACGTCTGCTTCAGGTCATTGACCGTATTTGTTTGGAGAAGAAAAAACAGTAAAAACAATATGTTTCCTTCGGCAAACATAAAAATCTTTACTCTAAATTTCTATCCTTTGGCAGATATCCATTTTAATATCTTATAACACAGCAGAGGCACCAGTCGACCCGAAGACGTGGCCCCAGACACGAGAACATTCTGTCGGCTAGGAACCGCATGAACTGTACCAAGTAGTAAATGGACTCTTAAACACTAGGTAGATATATTCTAATCTTTGCTTATTCTAGATTGCAATTTTTATGTACTTATATTGTTTAGGTTTAAATGTGTGTTTTATTTGTGTGCTTATACTTGCCTTGTGTGTGAACCACAACGTCAACACAAGCCCCCGCTGCCTGTGGCCCACGAGTATTGTATTGTTTTCAATTTCAATGAATCAAATCAAATCACTAATATGATCACTGTTCGTGCAGTGGAACGTACTTGGGAACAGAAGAATACATGCGGAGGGTCTCGTTGATGCACATATCAAGATACGGCATGCTGTGGACAACCTCGTAGTCCACTACGTCCTGTAAAACATGGATACCACACAGGTCAGTATAAGTATGTTGGACTTGAGAATATTTAGTGTTTTCAGCGATTGGTAAAAGATGATAAGAAGTTGCCATTGATATTGCAATGATCACGTTGGTAGATACGATGTTTGTCTCGTATTTGGTAGGTCTTAAATCCTAGTCAAGTTGTACCAGAACTGGTACATAACATTCTCTCTTAGCATTTGGGAAAGAGTGTGGTAGCCCAGCCCAGGGCCCTTCCAGTAATCATTTTCCGTCAGAATTTTGGGAATTTTTGCTCCATAAGGGTCAATATACATTGGGACAGTGTGGTTTCAACTCAGTAGATAAATGGCTAGTATATTGGCTTTGAAAGATCGGCTTCCCAAGCCCGAAAAACTGCACTGGATGCCTTTAAGTTTATCGTCTACATCTGAGGACGTACCCTGTCCTCCATGACTTGGTTGATCTCCTGCCTGACCCTGTCCTGTGCCTCCTGATGCAAAGCCAGGTTATACAGCGTGAACGCCATGGTGTTGGCCGAGTTCTCATAACCGGCGGCGAAGAACAGAAACGCGTTTGCTACAACATCGTCTTTGGACAGGGCTGAAATCAGAATCATGTCATTGTTGAAGAGGTTCATCAGTCATGTAGAATTAACAGTTAGTAGAAATTCTTCGATCAGTGACTGTATTTTTGGAAGGTAGATTACGTACCTCCAAATTTTCGATGTCCACTGTACATCTTGTTCACGGAGTTGGAACGTGCCGGGATGAATCGCAATGAAGGTTGGGAGCTGTCCAAGTCCTACCTACCCCTACTCCGCAAGGAGGCGGGGGAGGCCAGAAGATCCACACAAGTCTCGACCTAGTCTCGTGTTCTCGCGAGACTAGGTCACTCCGTGAACAAGATGTACAGTGGACATCGAACATTTGGAGGTACGTAATCTACTTTACAAAAATACAGTCACTGATCGAAGAATTTCTACTAACAGAATCATGTCAGTTTCATTATTAATATTTCCTAAGTTTTAAGGAGGAGGACATTGTACAAGCCTTTCAGACTTCTTTCTTCCTCCTGCACACTGCTTTTTCTTTGTTTTGCATATTTGTTTATTAATGTTTGTCGTTTTATCGGTGCAATGTGTGAAGGTTCTGTATCTGTATAGCCAGTATAAGCGCCTTTTAGTGTAACACACCAGCTTCGCAGGCACGCGGCGCGGCGGCAGCTAAACAACCCTTTTTGCAAAGGCAACATTAGCGAGCAAGTACAGCATATTTCACTACCAGCCCACATTTAACGAAAACAATATGTTTTCCTTCGTTAAACATAATAAGCATAGTACAAACTGCCATTTGATTAAGGTTAAACACATACGTTTCTTCGTTCCTTGCACTTCGGTCTCTTGAACGTCATTGTTGTCGACGTCATCATTGAGGTCAACGTCATCATGGTTGTCCACGTCATCATTGTTGTCAACGTCATCATCCTTGTGAGCATCCATCAGCAGTTGCATAAGGTCCACACGGCCCTGAAAACATAAGCAAACTTTATTGCACAACAATTGTACAATAAAACTGGTCTGAACAAAGATTACACAGAGATCAAAATTTCAACAATCACATCAGGATAACGAATGACCAATCACTTCATAACGTAATCTCGCGAGAGTTACGGTTACAGACACGTGGCCTTATTCAAACGAGATTTTACGGATACGTGACATAAGTAATTGATCAAAACTGCCAGGGAGTGATTGGTCATTCATTATCCTGATGACAAAGCTACAGGACTTGAACAGTCAAAAAATTTGGTGAGGTGCAATGTTTGTGCTAAAATTAAAGTTCAAACCTTTTTTAATGTTAAGAGGACGTGTATGAAGGTATTGACATTTATCTTGATTAGATCTGTATGGATTGAGTTAGCTTTTCCTGCATCAATCCAGTTGTACGCATTCATTCAAACTGTACTGTTAGAGAGTTACTGTATTAGGCCACTTATTTAGAGATCAGATTCAGACACTTACACGACTTTGTCCATTCTGCCTCATCTCCATGACCTGCTCAAAGATGCTGTAGAAGAAGTTAATAACATCCCTGCCCAGAAAGTTGTAATTCAACTTCTCCAAAATCGGCTTCATGATACTGGGGAACAGGACTGCAGGGTGAAACAAACGGACAGAAAGAGGGAAATGCTTGTATAGTTATATTGTCGTTGTCTTTATATAATTACGCATATACGATGCATGAAACAATCACTTGATGTTAATATCTACACCTGTTTTACATCATAAGAATATATGATGAGACTAGAAAGGTAACATTTGCAAGGAAATGCGTAACGTGTACCTTCGCATATGGTTTAAAACCCTCCTGCTTCAAAATTGCAACATGATGTAACCCAACACCAGTTACCATGGTGACAGACGTCTGGTTCAGGTCATTGACCTTGTTGGTTTGCAGAAGAGGAAACAGAGCAAAAACAATATGTTTTCCTTCGCTAGACATAAAAATATCTCAAAGCTCATTAGTCTTTTTACTCAGTAACTTACCAATCTGATGAAACTATTCGCGGATGAAAATCTACTGGTGTACTTACGCATGAGCCAGATCAGTGGATTGAAGAAGTTAGAACTAAACGTCTTCTTCAAATGGATGACGAAGGGGTCACGTGGGTTCCGCTGTGAATCCACGTCCAATCCAAACCCTGTCCGGGCGGTGACGTCAGTAAGGAATGCACTCGTCAGTCTGAAAGTCATTTTATTCTGTTTAAAATTTTTGATGATGAATTTGTTGACCCTTGAACCTCTCCCCTGCATGATGACCACAATGAAAAGCGGCCTGTTGGCCGAATTGTGTATTTTCATCAATAAATAAAGGCGCAAACAAATAATGATCGGTTTATTGAAAGAAAGAAACTCAATACAATCTGGCATAGCAGTCGGCAGACTGAATTAGCGTTAGACATTACAAAAGGTGTTAAGATCAGTCAAATTGATGAAATCTAACAACACCTCAAATATATTGACACATTATAAGATATTTATAGTTCATTCAGTACTTTTGTCATTACAGAGATACATAAAAGCTACTACCACATTTAAAAGGTCTACAGATCATTCAATAATCTAGTCATTGCGGGGATGGTACTGATTAATAGTATTTCGGACGAAGTTTTGTGGACAAAAATCAGGATAGTTTTGTTACATTGGCAGGGATACAGGGAAACATAACAATCGTTTCTCTTCCTTTGTAAGTATAGTGTGTGAAATATAAAATATACCTTCTCCATTCAGGCATTATGTGTATAATATATTGAATCTTTAATTGCATGTTCATGCCCATGGGGCTAAATGCATACAGAGTGTGGTGTTACATTTACATTATATTGAGTAACATGATACATAGGTTACAAGGATAACAGAATAGCGTAAAAGTTTTAACAACTACTAGAGAATAAACTAATCTAGGTCTTGAATATTTCTTCTCTCTTTTTAAAGCAATTGGAGATAATTCACATAGTTTTTCTTTTGTATGGTCATTACTGGTGGACATGAGACGACTGAATAACTCTTCTTTTCTTTCTCTTTTTATATTTACAATATGTTTTGCAAAAAATGATGCCTAAGAAAGGGAAACTCACTCCTTTATGTCGAAGGATTCCCCTTTTTCTCCAAAGCTGCGGATATTTCCCAGTAGCAGGTCTGCACAGCTGTTTATTGCTTCTGTCATCTGCCAAGAGAACGTCAAAGCAAGCTCCGTTACATGTGCATAGACACCAGCTACACTTACACCATTATAAAACAAGTTTGAAGTGTAATTTCCAACACAAGATTTTCGACTGTACAACTCCAGTCCTTGTCAAGAAAAGGTCTTTGTTTCATAATGCCTTCTACCAACACAGATGAACGTCCAAGATACAGTTACACCAAAAAAGGCCCTTCAACCGTTATGATTTAAATGTACCTCTACTACTAGACACGTAATATTGTAACAGAAGTTCAAATTAAAGTTCTTGTCACTCTCTTTCCGTCAAACACAGCGTTTGATGATGTTTAGAATCAAAAATATTGTTCCAACACGAAGAAGTTCTCTCGCCTAGAGCTTTCGACCAGTCACTCTCTGGTCTTCTTCAATAGACTGACCCAGTGTACCTGTTTAAGTTTGCCCCCGCTGAAGGCCGGACTGATGATCCTTCGTAGGTTCTTCCACTCCTCGTCTAACAGCGAGGAGATCATGAGATTCTGCGGCTTTACATCCAGATCCAGGCTTCCTGTCTTCAGTTAGATACATGATAAAGCTTGTCCAAAAATTCCATAATGATTTGGTATCATTATTATATATAGTACATATAAATAATACATGCTGTGTCATGTATGTATGCCTGTACATTAGAATTACATCAGATGCAACATAACAAGTTCACCATCATTACTTAATAATTACAATATATACAGCACTACAAAGACTACACAGTAGACTACACAGTACACAGTAATAACTACAATACACACAGGAAGAGTAGTTAAGAACTGTTGTTCTTTTACTAATGGAGTTCATATAAACATATTAAATACATGAGCATCCAGCTTAAAAGAACAACCTCTGTCAGCAAATGTAAAATTTTTACCTCCCAAATTTAGACAGTCTTCCTTTGAACATGCAGTGAATATCACATTGAAAAGAATTACCAATACAGTACCAGCAGCCTGTACGAAAAGACTGAAAAACTCCTTCTTACACAAGGCAATATGCCTGTACAACGAGTCTTCGCCGTCTTTACTTTAGTGCCCATGTGAGGCTTTTTGTAATGTTTTTGTTCGTGTGTTTGTATATGTTTTGCAATGTTAATTTGTATTTGCCAGACAATCAACTGTAAAAAAATCAGTGTTTTTTGTATAGGCTGTGAGGCTGTTTTTTTTTTATAAATAAACAGTTCTGTAAACTCACTGCGCGGTTAGCGAACTTGTGGAACTGCTTGACGAAGATTTCCCTCAGCATCTCTGGGTCAGAAATCACCAGGACTGGAACACGGCCGTTGAAAACTCTGAGCGACAAAATTGATTTGAGAGATGTAACGTAAAAGCACCTTCCCAATACTACATAGCTTTGTGGGGTACACATGTATATTAGTCTTATAGTATGCTTGTTATATGGCAATTGCAGTCGATGCCATCCTTTGTACCTTGTACAGTTCTTGGTCCCTAAGGCTCATTATGTTTTCTGCACAGACAGGAAAACAGTTATTTTGCAACTTCTCTATCATATATGAAAGCGGCCTATAATTGTACATTGGACCTTTCACTTTAAGTGAATTCTTGTCAAGTACACAATAAATGCATGTTGCAAAAATGAGTTAGAACGTTCAAAACTTACCCGTACACCTTACCATAGGTAGCTATAGCTTCTGTCTGAGCCTCAACATTATAGAAACCCTGGAATGTAACATATGAACATGAACATATCGATGAAGGTTAGACACCCAGGTAATGAGATACACAAAATAACAGTTACTAAAGCAACTGGTTAAATTTTGAAAACTGTTTTTCAATGATGAAAAGTAGTGAATGCTACATGAAACGTCTGACAGTTTTCAAAATCTATCCAGTTGCTTGGGTGACTTTAAAAAAGGTAAACTTGCATATGCGTCGATGAAGGTTAGACATCCAGGTAACACGATGCTCCAAAAAGCAGTTACACAAGCAACTGGATATGATTGAAAAATATTTCCAAAATCATATCCAGTTGCTTGTTTAACTGCTTTTTGACGAAACTTGCAGTGTGTCAATTTTTTGGCCTATAAATGTACGAGGAACGTGTATTTAGCCCACATATTCCCTAATGTATTTTGATTATTATTGATTCAAGAATTAATTTTAAAAAATGTTGAGAAAACAAAAAACTACCCCTCACCGCCTTCATAGTCTGATGCAGGTTTCCAATGAGTGGTAATGGTGTGGGGCCAGGTACGCCCATCTTCTTCAATGCCTGCATGGGCCGCACTGCGTACCTAAAAAAATATTTCTTTTAAATCTATTCAACACAACAATACGACGAATGCACTATTCAGCGAGTATTCTGATATCGTTCACACCAAATACATACATTACATGTAACATAGAAGCATAGATAAACTGTCAATAATAAGGCAAATACATTCATAACATTATCTAGTAAATCTCATTTGTATTTTTATAGTAGAATGGAATGTCAGCATACCTCTCACAGATAGGACTTACTAGTACAGTCGGACAAGGGCAAAGTGTAATAATCTAGATCTAATCAGAAAAAAAAAGAATTGTATTGGTAAATGCCAGAATTTTCATAGTGGCATTTGCTAGTTAAGTGGAGATTAAGACCGCAAAATGTAGGTTAAACAACGCAAGTGTCAATTTGATTACTTTTTGTGGGAGTGGTAGAATGATAATTTTTATTAATTGACAACTTCTGTTATTTTTGTGGAAAGACTGTTAATTCATACACTTTTTTTTACATAAGCACCTTTGCTTGCGTAGTCAATCACAAAAATTTTAATACGTTAGTCGGAAACTTAATATCCTTTGGTGAAGGTATGATATCGTGGAACTCTAGTCCAGCCTGGTGCTGTAATGTTTCATTTGTAAACAGTATCGGGCCTTTCAACAAGTCCGATAATTTGGGACTTAACAATGGTAGTAAATCAAACTACTGGACTTGTGAGACAATGATGTTTATTTGCACATTCATGCCTACGCGGGCTAAGTGCAGTACTTGATTGTTTACATGAGACATATAAGTGGCAAGATCGTCTGGCAAGACGACAAGCTAGGGCCCATGAGACATAGCGACATGAAACATTGCACACAGGTGAACTAACATTTAAGGCTATTATTGATACTCTCCAAGCAGAGGTTGATGGTGAAAGATCGTTTGCTTTTTATATATGGTCCGTTTTGGGGGGGTCTCTACCACCACCAACAAAAAGACAAAAACGGACCATATTATATAAAAAGCAAATGATCTTCCACCATCAACCTCTGCTTGGAGAGTATACCATTGATTATATAGTTAACGTGAGTTTAGGATGACATAAGACAAGTATTTTGTGCCCTAAACTCTACTTGACCCTGGGGGAGTGTAAGGCCCGAATATGCATGGTCACAGACCAAGGTTATATGAGTCTGCTGTTTGTTCAGCTTGTTAATTGGTAACGCTGTATTCACACAGAAAAGGTATGCCTGAAAAAGTCTTTGAACGTATGTATACTGTGACTATCTTGATGTTTTAAGTATCATTAAATGGAATTGGGTTAGATCAAAAGTAAAGAGTATGGGCTGTATGATATGAGATCTTGCGCCTGGAGAGTTAAGCGAGGGGGCGTTCCCGATATTTATTACTAGACATGGCGACGGCACACTCATGTTTTTCCAACTTATTTTTATGCCGCCACCAACGCAGACAAACGCATAAACGAACAACAGACATACTCATTTTCACCTGAGTAAAGTGAGAAAATTCTATAAAGTGCCTTTCCCAAGAGCACAAGATAGGTGGCATTCAAACTCGGGACTTCTTGGTTCTGAGCCGAACGCTCTGTCGTTCCGACACACGACCCCACGAACATTGGAACGTGAAAAAATTGAACGTGGAACATTGACCTAAAGGCCTAGGAGGACTAGGGGTGCCACCAGAGTATACAGCAGTGCAAATATAGTGCAATCTTACTAGTTTATAGTGCAATTTTGCGAAACACAGTGCAATTGTATTAGTATACAGTGCAATTTTACCAATAAACAGTGCAAATTTACTTGTAACATTGCACTATATACTCTGGCACCCCTGAGGACAGGACAGGAAACACCAAACCAGCTCGCCAGACTGGCCAAAGTCACGTTTACTCACAGGTAAAACAGGACAGGCAGTATGGCCAGTAGAACCCAGGACAGGGGGATGGGTACGGGCAGGAAGCCCAGATCCATGTTGGCGATGGCCTCCCGGTTCAGGTTCTGTGAAGTTTTTCCTTGCGATGATTTAAGTCCTGTTACACCGGAAGTGACGTTTGTTCTGTGGCGCAGCTTAGACTCTGTACCGGTCGTTGACCTTATGCAAGTGCCTTTGCCAAGTATTTATTATACCATTGACTATGGCTAAACAAGCCATCGAAGTAAAAAAAAAAAGAGGCTATAACTTGAACTGAATGGAACGCTGAAATCTTCTATTATGTGAAGCGCGGAAAAAAATAGTGCCTTTATTCGGCGTTTTCTGTCAGGTGAAGGGCGGGAAAAAAATTCAGGTCTTTTTCAGCGTTTTCTGTCAGGATATTTTCTGTAAGGAAAAGCGCGGGAAAAATTCGCGCCTTTTTCAGCGTTTTCTGTGCCAATGTTTTGCGTTCCCTTGAGGAGTTTGCTCACGACTCAAAACCAATCAGGCCTCACGCGGAGTACGTACATACTACTCTGCTTATCTCCAATCAGATATCTTCGTGGCTGCAAGACAGTAAAAAATTGTTAGGGCATTATTTCAGATCCAAGACTTCGATTTTTGTGGAGAAGACAAATACCATAGCTGACGCAACGGAAGCAGGCTATACATGGCGCGGAAAAAACAACCCCTGGGCGTGGAAACCTGGCATCTGTTATCGACCAGGAAATCAACTTTGGTGCTTTTATAGCCGCGGAGCTTGGTGCCTCTAACTCAAACGTCTGCAAGAGTGATGTTATTCGCAGTGACGCTTCTCCTGTGCTGCCTTGGCAGCGTACAGGCAGTCCGACGTAAGTAGATTTGTTATTGTATCATAAACGTTTAGTAGTATACATGCTTATGTGATTTTACTAATGTGCTTATATCTCTTGAGAGCATTTCTAAAGTAACGAAGCAGAAAACTTCGGTAGTAATTCCTAACTTTTATCTAACATGTTGCCAACCGGGCAAGAGAAAAGTTAAAATGCCCGTTTTGTTAGCCTTGGTCACAGTTGAAATTGTTTCCTAGTGGGCGAAGCTCATCTTAGGCCCCGGCTAACCTGGCCCTTGTGTCCAAACTTATTTTAGCTGCCGAGTATCTGGGGTGTTTTTGTTGACAAGGTTTAGAACAACCATGGCCCGATATTGGGGCTCCTCTACTCAAGGCTGTCATGTATCACGTATACGATGAGAGTCGTTTGAAAAGGTCTTGCCATCTATTACTCATTACTGACATGCATAACATGTGTGAATATAGGGCCATGACTTATGTTTAAAGAGAATATAATAAGAAAGCGATGAAGCGATATCTTACATGTATCCTTCTGGTCACATAGTTAAATATGTTTTCGGTAGCAACAGTGACGTGTCAAGGACTGGCCGACATGATGGAGAGAGGCCTCTCAGTGGAACGTGGAATCAGCTGGAAATGGGGCGATCAGGTGAGAAAATCCATTGATATCCCTTTAGCAGGATACGCACGTCCATCCATTGGACATTTTTGGTTGATCAGAAATACCCCAGGCATCTTTTTTTCTAAGAGATTTATTGTGTCTTGTTATATGTCTATTTTTCCACGCTATTAAGACATTCAGTTGGCTGTCGGCTGTTAGTTGTTGTTGTTGGCATCCTTCCGCCTCGGACGACGAGCTTTAATGTTTTATCTTTTATCTGTAGGGGTCTGGCTTCAAGGGCAATGCCATTGAACCAACCACGGGCATTATACTAGATTGGCAGGTTAAATGGCATGACGGACATACCAATTTCTATCGGATGGGTTACGACAAAGGATACGACCTGTTCCCGACCAATCTAGGTAGAGTACTTTTTCACTCTTTTGTCAGTGACTTTTATCATATGTTTCTTTACAAACAGGCGATTACTTAACTCCCTCTTCCAATACAATACGTATACAATGGACATGCCTTACATGTGCTATTGCTATATTTGTAAGAATATAATACACATTGCCTTCATCATTTTTTCAGGTTGCCGCCATGAGACTCCTGATCCAAGCCCCTTTGAGCCGAATGATGTCTGCTGTACAGCAGGTATGACATTCATTTTGAAATTAGTTCTGGATCACTCATGTCTAAATTGAAATTGTATGAGAATGTTAATAAACAATTTTGTATGATGTGTGAAAGGCGTGACCTTTTCAAGTATGAAAGATAATTTGTATGCCTGACCAGGGGTTGCTATAACACACTCTAAATTCCACCACTATTTTGTAAAGTTGAAATAATCACATGGGTTTGTTATATGACATTGTATAACAAATGGTATACATGCTATATGTATACAAAATTAATGGTATTACATGTTACATATATGCATAACAAATGGTATTACATGTTATATGCATAACAAATGGTATATACATATTTTTCAAATCAATAAAGTTACCAGATACACACTATGACACAACACCCCACCCTTACTCCCCAGAGTGCGCGCATATCATCATTTTTGGCTCCGCCACGGAGCAGCTCAGTCGCATGACCACCTACAGTCTGACGCGGTTGGAGCACGAGGGCCGCCCCGTTTACGCCAGCGACACCGGGCCTGACTTCCTCTACTACCATGGCCCAACCTCGAAGTGGATGGTGGGACCTTCCGTGGGAGCTCCAGAGGGGGCCGGTCTGTCTGTGTCTGACACTGCCCTGAGCCCTGACCGAATTCAAGCCACCTGGAGGCACTATTCAAACAACCAGTGGACCGAGAATCATGACATTCAAGCAAAGTGTTCTGGTAAATCTTATAAATTCATACAGATTATTATCACAGGAGGAGGCTTAAATCTTGCGCAAGTCATGAGAATGTACATATTCTGCTAAATGTATATTGAATACCTGTTACATGTATCAAAAATTGAAGGTATCATTTGGCACATGCATAAATACATTCAACTATTCATTGTTTGACCTCAATTGCTGAAATATTGATATCTGATACCAAAATGCTGATGTTTGCAGAATGTCAGCAAATTACCATCTCTGGATCCACTCAATCTTCCTGTATGACATACACCCTGACGGAGCAGACCCACGAACGACGCCCTGTGTACTCCAGCGACACTACAACTGACTTTCTCTACTTCTACGGGCCTCAATCCTCTTGGCTCGTTGGACCGACAGTCGGATCATCGACGGCCGGCATGTCAGTGGAAGACAGCCATCTATACCCCGACCAAATCAACGGCGCATGGGTGATCCGTCAGGGTTCTAGATCGGTGACGTTTCCAAATGTTGTGGCAACCTGTACTGGTAAGTTGTTGGTAAACAATGTCTATGACGAGGCGAGGACCCTGCTGCATTGAGCCATCTTAATATATCTCACAAACTCACTTTCTCTGTCCTTTTCGCACACAAAATCAGTTATAAGAACACTTATGTTTCCTTCCATTTTTTTTTTTGTTGTTGTTAACTTTGATACAATTTTATTTAGCCATCAGGCATTACAAATAATACAACCGTCTATTATAAACTTCCATACAGATATCAATCAGTGCGCCTCCTCTCCTTGCCTTAACGGCGGGACGTGTATCGACTTGCACAACGCCTACTCATGCACCTGCGTGGTTGGATGGGAAGGAGAAAACTGCGAGTTGGGTTTGTGATCACTCTTTTTTTTCATCACCAGCATTGTGCATGATAGGAACATGGTTGAAATACAAGTAAAAACTGCTAACCCCTGCAAGATAATACAAGGTAAGTACGCTTTCATTCTAATCTAAGTAAGTCGCACTGTAGCCTTGCCATTTTTAATACCATTTTAAACTGCAACTTTCTTGACATGTGCTCATTTCTTTCCACCCAGACAAGGATGATTGTGCCATAGCCAATTGCGACACAGGATTCGAGTGCATGGATCTTCCTGGGTTCTACGCTTGCGTTCCTCAAGGTATATGTCCGGTCCCTCAATTATTGCATCACAAAAATGTACCTGAATATCATTTATTGGTATCAGTACTACAGTGTTCAATTCAAAATTCAGAAGACACGTTTATTTCAAAAGGTACAAGATGACATCGGTGCATACTCCAAATGTCACTTGTACTGTGATCACGCACACACACACACACACACACACACACACACACACACACACACACATATAGTCAAACCTTTGTAAGAATGCCACCCAAGGTACTGGGCAAAAGTAGTTACTAAACAAAGTCATGGAATAGGAGTGCCCTAGTTAGTGGTGAAATGATTAAGTTTATAAATAATTATTAAATGAAGTATAATAATACATCTGTTCCTTAATATCAAACTCGACATCGATGGATGCACACGTTATGAGCACTGTTTTCTCTCGGTCTATTAGACACTAACTTTGTATGTTCTTTATGTAGGTTTCCAGCTAGGCAGGGGCCAGACCAACCGATCCACCTGCAATCCTGAGTCCTGTGCCAAAGGCTGGATTTGCGAGGTCCGGGAGGCCGGCTACGCCTGCCTACCGAACCAGTAACGCCCTCAGTGGTTGGCCCAAACGAATGGTCTCCAACCATCTAACAACTTCTGTGATTGGTCAGATGGTTTGGAAGGGCGGTAACAGCGAAAGGAAGTTTGTCTTGAAATAAATTCTTTGAAGCAGGCTTCTCGACTTAAATTCACTGCTTGTTTGCTCACTGCTAACCACCAGAATGTCAGGTTTCTATGATAACCCCACTCATAAAAAAATACTAATCTCCAAGCAGATCATTCGGTGGCTGCAATACAGTACTGTATCAGATTGGCAATTCGCGCCTTTTTCAGAGTTTTCTGTCAGGACTGTTCTGTCAGAGAAAGCGCGGGAAAAATCCGCGCCCTTTTTTCGTTCTTTCGTTCAGCGTTTTCTGTTAGCATATCGTTTTATGCTACTTCTGTCGCCCTTTTTTCGGTATTTTCTATCAGGATGTGTCAGGTAGAGCGCGGGGAAAATTCGCGCCTTTTATCAGAGTTTTCTGTCAGCATGTCGTCTTATGTTCTGTCAGGTGAAGCGCGGGGAAAATATTCGCGCCCTTTTTCAGCGTTTTCTGCCAACATATCGTCTGACTCAGACGATATGCTGACAGAAAACGATTCGTCTTGAAATCGTGACTACGAAGTCCTTCTGAACAGTAGAACACCGAACAATAAAACTCTCCAGTTGTTTACCCAGTTTAACCCCTGAATGATTCACACAGGACGTAAAAGTTAACCATTTACAGTCGGCAAACAGCGGGCAGAGGAATTTGAGGGCTGGGTCACAAATTCCACAACACTCGTGCAGTTGTTCGTAACGTTAGGATAAAAACCGCCCCATGTGACGATCTTGAACAGTTTCTAGCTAGACCACAGACTGAGAGGACGTGTTTTGTGTGTGCGGTGGAAGATTCGTGGCTTTAAACATGTCGGGTTTTGTGTTCAACGTCTTTTGTGCAGGACTGTTGGTGGTAGCAGTTTACGGTGCTGCAGGTGGGTCAACTGAGATTTTTCTTACGCCAAAGAAATTGAGATTTTGTAAAAATAACAGGTGGATCTACAAACTTAAGATTTCTAGGATTTGTGTTAGGCTGTTAACTTATCATCATAGTCTACAACTATGTCCGTTGACAGTTGGTGAATACTACTTAGTAGTAGTAAAGTTTCCCCAGATAAGGTAAATGAAATGCAAATAACGCTACTAGATGCTCATTGGATCATCTTTGATAAGTTATTTCCTCTGACAAGTTAGTCAAAATTTTTCGTAATTTTCCTTACTTGATTATAGTTATAGACTTCAAAAAAAAGGCCTATGATACGGCAATCGCTGGGTGACTAGAATTGGAGTTGTGTTACCCTTGATTTTATAATTGGAATATGAATATGATGCGCGATGTCAAAGTATAATCTTAAAGACAACGAATGTCATAAAATCTGTCAATTATTTGGTAGCAGCGGTTGCAATCTTTAGATAGGGGTAAACTCATCTGTATGTAACGTTATATTGCAGAATTATACACTGTTGGGGAGTCAGAATGCCTTGATTGCACTTAGCTCTACTTGGACAATGTTGTCTTGTCTCACTGTCTCACACTAAATGTTTAAACGTTGCTAACCAACCATACAGATACAAGATACAAAATATACAACTATTTTGACGATACTGCTCTGCCACACCCACAATATTTTTTAAACGTTGCTACCCAACCTGACACTGATACCAGTGTTATTTCTCGTATACTGGATACAGAGTGGTATACATACAAACATGGAGAAGCCAAAATATAAATCAATCGATTGATAGTTCTAGATTGTTTGACCACTTACAACAACAGATAGACACCACCCAGTATCGATGGTGTATTGTGTACTTCAAAGACTCAATGTCACCGAGTACAGTAGGGGCATCATCATTAGGTAGCGCTAGAGTTAAATGTTCAAAGGTTAGGTGTAACACGTCGTTCGGTGTGATGTAGCCAGCTGCCGCCGCGCCGCGTGCCTGTGAAGCTGATGTGTTACGCAAAAGGGCGGTTATACCGGCTATACAGATAGAGAAGCTGGTGTGTTACGCCGAACGGCGGTTACCCCGGCTATACAGAAGCTGGTGTGTTACGCCGAGGGGCGGTTATACCAGCTATACAGATACAGAAGCTGGTGTGGTACGCCGAAAAGCGGTTATATCGGCTATACAGATACAGGTATACAGAGAGACCGGTCACATATGCCATACCATCGTCATACGACAGGAAACCCAATGCATTCTTGCAATGGTCATGCATGTGCCCAGCAGAATTTATGGAAAAGGCTGTCTTAGATTTTTGTCGGTACATGGTCCTACCACAACCTGCTTGTAAGTTCATACGGCGACCAAAGACCATACCCTTAAGTGCAAAACAAGTGCAAAGCAAATAGACAAGACCTCTGCCCAAAGTACAATACACACAAGCAGTTAGCGTAGAGGTGGTGGTGACGCTTAATTTAGATAAAGTTTGTATGAGTTTGTGTACCGTCGCGAAGTGGAGAAAATATCTTAGTAGTAACACCGACATCTAATTGCTCTACTATTGGCTTGTTTATATTAATATGTGTTTGATCAGCCCCACAATTGAGAGGATAGGTTGTGACGTATTTATGACGTCGATTCACCCAAATAGGGACGTTACTATGGATACGGAACAAAGAAACTGATGTTTTGTCGCTTTGTCTTCATTTCAGTCCCTGCAAAACCAAAGTACAACAGTGAGAAATCCCTGAGTTCAGCTCAGAAAGTAAGTCTAGGCCATTTTCTCTTTTGTCAGTGATTTCTTTGCATTGAATTATGCAGGATTTGGATAGAAAACTTGCCTTAATTGTGAAATATCGTTAACATATCTGATTTGGAATACGAATACAATACAGTACGTCTCTGTCGCGATGTATCTTTAAATTAAGATATTAAAATAACATTTCTGTACCTCACAGGTTGAGTTACTGAAAGAACAGCTGGAAGAACTACAGAAGAACGTGAGTACTCAAGACAAAACAGGGATCAGTAACTACGTCATCTGACGTCATTTCCCTTTGTTATTCTTTGTTTTGGAGAATTTAAGTGGGTGATCTTAGTAACATCACGCGTGCACAAAGTGTAGGATTGATGTGGTCAACGCTTAGAATTCCTCTTGGTACCCTAAGCGTAAATGAAGTTGAAGATACCTACTACTGTAGCATCAGTAATCCTGAGACATCCACACTTCAGATAATCCAAGAGTTCAGATATTTCGTAAGAAGACCCGACGATAACTCTATCCAGAACCGTGCCTATCTAGCTTAATGTCAGTACGGCCTTAAACTACTCGTAGATAGATAAACTAGATAAAATGGGTTAGGGTTAGGGTTAGGTTCAGGCGCGACCTCTGGATAGTGTAACCAAGAACGTAACTTTGCCCCTGATACGGTTCTGGATACCCATGGAGTCCGTGTAATATTCAGAACTGTGTCTGAGCATGGTGTTGGATAAAGCACGGCTTTAGATACTACAACACTATTCTTTCTTTGGGGGGGGGCGTAGGGAACAAGTGAAAATAATTATATGACAACTGACAGCTGCTCTCTACCATTTCGAAAAGTAGATCAAACACATTTTTCTCTCCTTTTCAGTTGTACAAGTTGTCAGACACGTTTTCATCCGAGCAAGAGGAGGAAAAAGCTTCAGAGACCGTCCCCACCAAAGCTCCGGAGAAAAAGCCGACAACAAATCCACCGACTGACCCGTCAGAAGAACTCGAGGCCAAAAACTTCGTGGACTCCGTGGCGGCCTCCCTAGAGAAACCCCGGGAACGAGGGCGTGGGTCTGGGAACGAGCTCACGCAGGAGGATGTTGATTTTCTACAGGTCATTACGTCATTACAATTTTTTTTCCACTTTAACGTTTTGGCTTGTGTGAGTTTGTATATTCAGTGAACATCAATTATAACTTGTATGTCATTAAGTCGTGGCCCAGGGTATTTGATGTTTAATCTCCGATTGCTAAAGAAACTTACACATCATCTGATCTTCACAGGAACTCAAGAGCTTCTTTAAGAAAAAGGCGACTCAGATGGTGCAGGAGACAAAGGAAGAAACCGATGGTAAGTTTTCAACATTAAAGATTCAAAATCAAGTAATCTCTTCTAATCTCTGATTCAAAATGAAGTACTCTGATTATGTTTACCTTTGCAGGAGGACAGCACATTGTTTTTGCTGTTTCATCTTCTTCTCCAAACAAATAAAATCAATGACCTGGACCAGACGTAGCAGTCAGCCTGTGGTGTTGGGTTACATTTTGTAGCAGGGCAGAACTAGAGAGGCTGCTCACCATGTATTTTATATAAATGTGTTTGACTCTTTGAGTATAAAGAAACAGAGCAGTAGTTCATTAGGATAGACCAATTGTGAAAGTAAACATGCATTTGCTTTTCTAGTCTCTTGTTTCTTGTTATACCTGTATACCTCAGACACAGTGGGTAGGGGGAGATTAACAGGCAAGATGAAAGATGAAAAGATCAGGCACAGAAAATAGGATGAACCTGAAGGTCAATAAAACTTAAGATACTTCCCGGACGTCCGAAATCTCTTTATCTGTATGCCCCAGATACAGACTTGGCTGCTCTGGCCCAGATCCTGTCGTCCAACACCCGGACAGTTGTGGACACCCTGCCGGAGGAGACAGAGTACTTCCGGGAGGGGGCAAAGTTCATGGATCGACCTTACAACATGGACGAACTGGGGGAACCGGACGGTTAGTCATTCATTATTCATTCATTTATCCATTCATTCATTCATCCATTCATGCCTGCATTCATTCACCCACCCAATGTATTCTTTCATCCATTCGTTCATTCATCCATTCATTTATCCATTCATTCTTCCATCCACTCATTCATTCGTCCATTCATCCATCCATCCACCCATCCACCCCACCATCCATCCATCCATCCGTCTTTCCACCCACCCACCCATCCATTCATTCATTCATTTATTCATTTCTTTCCATCGTTCTCTCAGTAGTAGATGGGTGATCATGATAAGAAATCAGTCCCCTTTTCCGTAGGTTCCATATCTTAGATTTCTTGTTTTCAGATGAATTAAAGAAGGAATCCCAACCCTCTGAGAAAAAGGCAGCCACCAGGACACATTCTGCAAAGAAAGAGGCTCAGCAGAAAAACGAAGGTAAAATTAAGGTAGAATAACGAAGGGTGGCTAGGTTAATTAGTGGACACAGGATCAAGAAGCTTCGGGTTCGATCCCTGGCTTTTTCAGCTAGATGTCGACAGGGACTTTAACACCTGCTATTTGAGTTTGGTTGGGGAGGTAGAAGATGGTGGAAGGAGAGGGAAGGGCTTGATCTTCGAATACCAGCACTAGACACAACATTCTACTGCCCCTAAAGCCCCAAAAGGCTATGGGGCTACTTGTGCCTTGTTTTAGCGACAATGTGATCTGTGGTTTACATGACTAAAGAAATACTCGCGTTTAAATCCCTTTTCTAAGTGTAATGTTTTTATGTAGATTGTTGAAGTTGACACAATTTTTTCCCAGACGCCCTTGCGGACCGTCTCCAGGCGGACCTGCGCGAGGCATCACGGGAAGGCATCACCCTGGAGGCGCTGCTCAAACAGATGAAAGAGGACACCGCAAGTACGTTCTGGCCTCTGATTGGTGGAAAGTTCTTACGAAATTGTACACGTCACCACATGCCTTAAATTCTGGTCGGTGATTGGTCCTGATACATCCTGCTTAAAATTCTTCGGAATTAAAATCGTACCGCTGCGTTAGACCTTCAAATAATTTTTGAACAATAGGATAGATGGAATATACACAAGGAAATTATTTGTTACTCAAGCAACTGGATAGATTTTAAGAACTTTTGTTAGTCGTTCGTTCCATGTACATGTAGCATCCACTACTTTTCGTCAGTGACTGATGAGCAGTCTGGCAGTTTTCAAAATCTTTCCAGTTACTTCAGTAACAATTTCCTTATGTATCCCATTACCTGGATGTCTAACCTTAATCTGCAAGCAGATCATATGGTGGCAAGGTAGTATCCATTGGCCAGAGGAGTGTCCATTAGACACCGAAGATCTGCTGATAGTGAAGCAGGTGGATAATTGATAGATGGCTAACAGCTTGCCACCGTAGTATCTGCTTGGATATATATATATTATATATAGAGAGAGAGGGGGGGAGGGAGAAAGAAAGGGGGGTAGGGAGAGAGAGAGATTGTTTTCTAAACCTGTGTTGTTCTTCCTGTAGGACTGAACGAGGAGAGCCGTCGTCAGGCCCTCCAGCTGCAGGGGAAGCGGGAACCCCGGGAACAGAGCGGGGAGGAAAACCTCATCGCGCTAGCCGAGGGGCAACTTGCCATGTAATCAGCAGTCTGTGTTCTTAACTCCGGATCCCATGAGTCCATACACTAAGAATACCACACTTAGAGAAAGATTATGAATTTTAAAGGATGTGGTAACACGGTGTACTAGTATGCACACTTCAGGTATGCAGGTGTTTCAGTTTTTCTTCGGTTACAGGGCGTAACTATGAGAGTTGATTTTACCTGGTACGCTCTAAAAAAAGCATGGATTTGAATAAAACAGGTAGTACTTATTTTATAAAGCCATTTATATAGATCTTTTGAGGCGATAGTACCAAGATATTTGTCAGAATCTCTCTAAAACATTCAGATACAATTTGTGCAAAATCTAACCTTTCTGTACATGTTACACATAATCTTATAATGTCAATCTTATTCTACATTCCATAAAAACAACACCAATTACACACGTTGTCAATACAGCTAACGTTGAGACTATCCACATCCATGCAAGGTAGGCATGGTACTGGATGCAATACCATTCAACCACCAAGTCTTGTATCTCTGTGATCATTTAAATGAATTTCAAGCATTATTCACTAGAAGTATGTTATATGCAAGAAAAACAATAATGCTGGCAGTGTCGGTATTATTTTCTGGCCACATGATAGTAAAAGAAGCTAAGGCCATTATCTATACAATTGTTGAATGATTTGCTCGATGTCACATTTCCGAAGAATGCTAGGTGCATGTTACTCCGGTGGAATGCATTTGTAGCCATCGTCCGCATTTGTGCAGTTCCATCCTTTAGGACAGGAGGCGCTGCTGCACTCGCCAAACGGCAGAACACTTCTCTTCCTGCGACCTGCAACATAGAATACAGTAACTGTCGTGTATTTGGAAAAAAAATCTTATGTGTTCGTCCTAGGCTGCCAAAGACGACCTCTAATATACAATACACTTGTCCAGTCATGTGTGTGTTGACCTTTAACCTCCTGATCACGTGACTACATTTTCAATAGCTGATGAAAGATGGCTACTGCCGTCTGAAAGCATCCCAACACTAGTTACCATGGTGACAGACGCCTGTTCCAGGTCATTGGCCTTATAAGTTTGGCTACTCGGGGGAGGGGGGTCTAAAATGGTATTTTGCTTTATAAAAAAAATGTAACTTCAGGGATATCAGTGACTACACTCCTGCGTCGTTTGTGGTAGATGACTTACCTTGGTAGTATCCGTTGCCCGGAAACTTGCAGACGAAGGCCCCGGCCTGGTTGACACAGTAGAACGGTTTGGGGCAGACGATGTCGTACTTCGTGCACAGGTCAACAGCTAAGTAGATAAAACATGTTCTGTTAGTGAGAACATTTCTCCCTGATGTCACATGGTAAAGATCGTACATATCTGTATCTGTATAACCGGTATAACCGCCTTTCGGCGTAACACACCAGCTTCGCGGGCATGCGGCGCGGCGGCAGCGTATGGTAAATCCTTCCAACTTTTCTGAGTAAAACAACACCTAGTTGTCGTCAAAATAAATTTCTAATGGGCTACCAGTTTAGGGCAAAAGGCAAGACTACACGATACGTGTTCTAGAAGTACTTATTGAAGTACACATACTGTACTTTCCAGCGTTCCAACGTCTTTCCAGTTCTAAGCGACAATACAGCGACCAAAGTTGCAGTTCTGTGACCATTGATTTAATAATGAAGCATCATGCAGCAAGGGCTAGGACAGCTAAAGCAGCGGTGTAGAAACATGTACGTTTCGGCCACTGTACTTAAACTAACATGAACAGACATACCGCTTTCGCACTGTAGCCCGGTGAAGGCCAGTGTGCAGTTGCAGGTGAAGGTGTTCAGCCCATCTATACACTCCCCTCCGTTCCCGCACGGTCTGGACGCACACTCGTCTATGTCTGCAATGAAACAGGAAATATTCGTTATTCAAGAAGAAACGAAGCAAAACAATATATCGTCCTGCAAAGATAAACATAAATATTATCATGAAACTTCATCTGTGTTGGTAGTTACATGTTCAGATCAACTTTTGATCCAACACAAAGAAGGTATCTGGTAGGCGATGTCTTCGCTCAACCGCGACGGGGGCCGACATCGTCTACCAGATACCGTTCACCCAGTGTTGACGTCACATTTGAAAGAAGCCACATGACAAGCCTCACTGGGTCAGTCGACTGAGGAAGGCCAGAGTGACTGGTCCAAAGCTCTAGGTGATAGAACTTCTTTGTGTCGGATCTAAAGTTTTTAATTTAAACAAACATGATATTGTACAAGTACAAAATTCACAGTAACGTACAGAGTAACGGGTCGAAAGCTCTAGGTGAGAGAACATCTTTGTGTCGGATCAAAAGTTTTAACTTTAAACAAACATAATATTGTACAAGAACAAAAACCACAGTAACGTACGCCAAAAAGCAGTTACTCAAGCAACTGGATATGATTTTGAAAACGTCAGACGTTTCAGCTAGTATCCACTAGCTTTCGTCAGTGACTGAGAGACCAGAGGGGAAATGCAGGTTTATAAGCACAACCTTTTGATTGATATGCAAATAAAGTGAAGACAAATTTTTGGAAGTCGAAAATGGAACAAAAGTCAGACAAGTCAAGACAAGATAATGCAAATTAGTCAGAAAACTCCTGTTATACAGAACAGGAGCTTAAGTGTTGTCTGTCCTCGGGGCTGGGAGTGCCAAATCCCAAGTACCGGAAAGATCGACCCGTACGCCCCCCTTCCTGTTGAGGGTGGGTTGTACATTCTTTCATATATTGCCTCTTTAACACCCGTTCCCACCAGCGTGTTTCGCGGTCTAAGACATCCGTGGACTCGAGTTTGAAAGAGTGACCCTGGTTGTGTTGTAGGTGGTGGAAAATAGCTGAGGAGTAGCCGTTGGCACTAGGTCGGCAATGTTCTTTGTACCTTACTTTAAGCGGTCGACTTGTCTCTCCGATGTAGGTGTTGTTACAATTGGGCTCCTCACATTTGAGTCTGTAAATAACATTCGCCTTGGTACCCTTGTGAGGTCGGTCCTTAGGGTGTACCAGTCTTTGTCTGAGGGTTGAGTGAGGTTTGAAGTTAGTGGCTATGTTGAAGTTTTTGGAAGATCCGTCGGAGTT